TTTTAGGCGCAAATGGTAATAATCACTTCAATGCCAGGGTGGGGAATCAGCATGGACACCAGAGGAAGCAGTACAGCGGTCAGACAACAGCTGCTTTCAGAAGCACGACACTGGCCATTACCTGTGAACGTCCTCAGGGCTTTGCCCTCCCAGCCACGCACAATCTGTTGGAAGGAGGCTGCCTTTTGCAGCAGGTCATCCTCCATGCTCTTCAGCACCTCCTGGGTGACGAGGGTCTGTGGAGTTAGGTAGTAGAGACCGTCCGCAGCGGCGTCGTACTTCAGGGTACACCCCATCCTGCAGCGGCCGCACCACCACGTGCCGATGTCGATTGCGTGCAGCGCGTTCGCTTTGATCAGCCTGCCTTCCCCGTTCCATTTCAGATGCCACGGCGCCCCACAAGGGGCTGGGGTGACGGGGCGGGCTTGGCAGAAACGCCCCTCCCGGCTCCAGCGGCGCGTGTCTTCCAGGCTGGTCCCCTGCTCAGCTGCTTGGTTGAGCTCGTTATCCCTCGGGGGCAGCTGGCCGCATGGCCTGAGCTGGCACTCATGGGTGCACACGTGAGCAACCTTCAAATGCTCCCCGAAGATGATCGGGTCCGTCCGAAGGTCCTCTGCGCTTCGGGGGGTCACTGTGGGAATGGGGGACAGGCTGGCTAGGTGGGGGCACGTCCTTGCCTGGGTTACCTTAGCAGACTCTCTGTCAGCACCTCTGGGGCAGGAAGTGCACACAATAGTGGCTGCTGTTCCCAGCTTGGGATAAGGCTTGACGCCAAAGTTGAGACCCCACACCTCCTCCGCAGTTTCAGGCACCCGGACACCTTCCCCCTGCGGCTGCCACTCCTCCTTGGTCAGCCCCGCCAGCTGATACGAGTGTATGCACCGCCCGTGCAGATCCATCTGCCCCAATGTGCACGCTTCGCAGAACCACTCGTCTCCGGGGTTAGCCGCCTGCCCCTGTTTAACCGCCCGCCCCCTGAACTTGCCCCCCCTCCCCCTCGGCTTGGCCGTCTGCGCCTCATCATCGCTGTCGCCAAGCTCTCGCCTGGCCACCAGCGTCCCAGAGGACCCGCTGTGGACAATGTAGATGGTGACAGCAGCAGCTTCGTAAGTCAGAGCCACTGTGCTCTGTCCTTCCAAAGCCCTCCAGTTTACGGCACGTGCCCCCCGCCGGACTGTCTCCACCCCTTCATGCGTCGTGCCTGTTGTCCACACGTCCAGCGTGCTCAGGTCGGTCAGAGCCTCCAGCACGCCAACGTGGTAGCACTTGTCTTCCGGGCCTTTGAGCTTGCAGTTGCACGTCAGGCTTGTGCCACCCCCCGAGGCCACCCCAAACCGGACCTTTACAGGCCAGAGGGTCCGGACAGGGTTCTTTCCCCCAGCCCCAGTCTTCAGGTCCGGCTCAACAATGCGAGCTCGCAGAGCCCTCTCCCCGCCCTCCCCCTCCCACTTCTGCTCGATGTTAGCAATGAGCATGTAGTTGCCCCGCAGAGGACCGGTGTGCAGGGGGCAGCCCTGCGCAGCCCTGGCCCTGAAGGCCTCAACCAGCAACGGCAGCTCGCGGGTGTAGACAGCAGCAGGGATCTCCTCGCAGCGTTGCACCTGGACAGGAACAGTGTGGCCAAGTCAAACCAGTGTTCTGGCAGAAGAGCAGAGTTCAAGTCACACAGCACGTCACCAAAAGAGCTCAAGGATCAGTTCACAGTCACACAGCACATCACCAGGAGAGCTCAAGGGCCAAGTTGAAGCACACAGCACGTCTCCGGAAGGGCTAAAGGATCAAGTTCAAGTCACACAGCACATCATCAGGAGAGCTCAAGGGTCAAGTTGAAGTCAGACAGCACGTGAGCTCAAGGGTCACATGACACTGTCTGCATTTGAGCTGAAGCAAAGCTGCTCACCTTGACTTCAGGAGATCTCTTTGCATGCTTCCTTGACTCCGACTGTGGGGCATCCTTTGCTGCTTCGAAGAGAGCAAACAGACTGGGGTCCCGTCCGTAGAAGAAGACGCCGGAAGAGTACGGTGGCTGGGGCTCGTAGGAGAGGCCCTCTGGTGGGAGAGAGGCTGGTTCGCATGCCAAGAAGGCTGGTGGAAGGCAGCTGCTTGGGTGGACGTAGAACACAGACTCCTGAGGGGGTAACTCTGGGAATGGCCACAGGTGAGTGCGGTGCCCGTGCTTTGGGGAAGTAGGAAGGAGTGTGTGGAAAGGCGTCCCTTTGGGGGGCTGTTTTGGGGAAAAGAACAGCCAGTGGTGGGGATAGGGCTCCCACGGCAGCCGGACTCTGGGCACGGGCTCTGGAGCGAGTCCATGGGTGGAGAACCACTGATCAGGCAAAGGGAGCCATGGCAGGTGGGAGGCCATGTAACGGAGGCCGGGGTATGCGTAAGGGGCTAGGGGTTTGGTATCAGGGATGGGCGCCGTCCGCTTCTGAGGCTTCTCGAAATCCCGTTGGTGGATCAACCTAGGACAGGTGCTGTCGTCTGTGTCTCCCCGCTTGCACTGCTTGCCAGACCCGCTCCTGCAATGAAGGCACTCCTGCAGCAGCTGTTCGAAGCCGCCCCCCTCCCTCACACCGAAGCAGGCATCGAAAGCTATTGCCCCCCCACCCCTCTCCCGCAGTGTCGTGCATCTCAGGCAAAAGATCCTGCGTGACCGCTGGTCACCGGCTCCGGCGTATTGGGGGCAGTTCTGCGCTTGGCATATGATAAACCCCTCCCGGTCTACCGCTGCTCGCTTCTTGCAAACGAGGATTGTGCCGCCCTCCGTCCCCTGCAGGTCCCACAGCCTGTGGTTGCAGCTGTGGCAGTGCTTCTGAGTTTCCTCAGAGCGGCTAAGAAGCAGCATCTGATCCACAACAAAGTCTGGGTATGACGCCAGAGGCACCAACCTGAGGAAAGCGAAAGGCTCCAAATGAGCGCCACTCTGAGACACAGCTCCCTGAGACACACCACACCTTTTGCATGGTGTGTAAACATCATAATAAACTGCGGAGGCACTTGGCGCGGATACACGGAGGATTTTAGAAAGTCTCCCTAGGGGTCCTAAACTGACATCTCTCAACTTGAGATACTTTGTGAAAAACGCTCGTTATCCGTGTATCTGCTCAGATGAAATGCCAGATGAAATGCAGCAATTTTGAAAAGAACGTCAAGTACAACTGGAGAGTGCTCTGAGGGGCAGGTCTGACATGAGAGTGATAAATCGTACCTACAACTCCTTCTCAGAGAAGAGGTGGTAGCTAACCTGTCAATTGAGAGGCTGTGTGGTGCCACCTGAGCTTCTACCCCCATCTGCAAGGACCATCAAGTTGCAAGATTCAGAGAGCGATCTGAATTCCAGCTGTACCACTTGCTCACCCCGCCTGTCTGGCACTCAACTTGCTTCACCCCGCCTGCTTTCAAATTCCTAAGAAGGCAGCTCATAGCCCCTCATTGTCTAGGAACAGATGGCGTAAAGTTGAACATCCAGTGGGTGGGGTACTCACCTTGCTCTTGCACGCACCCAGCTCACTGCAAACCCCTGGGTGAGCACCTCACAGCTTCCTGTCTTGCGATGCGAACCCCTAAGCGAGCACCTCACAGCTCTGGCCTTGCGCTGCGAACCCCTAAGTGAGCACCTCACAGCTCTGCCCTGCGCTGCGAACCCCTAAGAGAGCACTTCACAGCTCCGACCTTGCGCTGCAAACCCCTAAGTGCTCACTGCCCCAGCATTGCGCTGAAAACCTCTGAATGCTGGCTTCACGGCCCTGGCATTGCGCCGCGAACCCCCAAGTGCTGCTCACAGCGGTGGCATTGTGAGCCAGACCCCCTCAAGACCGCCCGCCACTGCGCCGCAGCTCATGACTGCTCACTACCATGGCTTGGTGCCACAATCCCCTAAGCGCCTGCTCACTGCGCCACCATTGTGCTGCTAAGCTCCTAGATAGTGGCGCCCTGCTCCCAAGGCCCTAAGCGCTGCTCACTGTGCCGCCATTGTGCCGCTAACGCTCCTAAGTAATGGCGCCCTGTGGCTGCAAGCTCCTAAGGCCCTAAAACGCTGCTCACTGCGCCGCCATTGTGCTGCAGACCCTTCAGGAATCTTCGGGTCTGGAGAGTGTCCGGTAGAAGAATATTGTCTGTAGCTGCGGTGTTAACCATCTCCTTAAGCCACTAACACTGGTCGGAAGGCTTAGGAACTATCTCCTTAAGTCACTTTCACGGTGTATACCGGGCAAAATCCGTGAACCAATCAGAAGCGAGCAAGCTTGTTGGATGAGAGGCTGAGGGTGTGATTCCGACCTGGGCATTTAGACTCATTTGTGACAGGGTGAGAAGGTCGTTCAACGTCTTCGATACAAGGGCTGCAGAGCCCTTTGTAGTTTCTTATTGAACCAGTGATGAGCTTCAAGCGATCGTACCTTCGGAACAACGTATCAACGGACCGATGAAGCCCTGGCCTGGAATCGAAATGAAGAAGGGCTGCCGGACTTTGACGAGCGCTCCCCTTGCAGGCTTTGTTCTTAAGGAGGAGCAGACTCCAGTGCGACCTGCAGAACCGCGAGAGAGTTAAGACGTATGAAACCATAGGATGTGTCTTAGCAGACAGCACAGAAAGAATATGACACCGACAGTTCGAGATTGATCAGATTGCTAGCAGAGGAACATCCTCCTCTCTGGTCCAATTTTAAAAGCTTCAGTCAGTCACGAGGACATCTACCCCAGGAGCCCGTTTTCAGAACCGAAGGAACTGCCATTGGCCAGGGACAAGTCAAAAGCCTCACAAAATGTCAATTTCCTCTTAGGAACGCGAACCTGCAACAATCGAGCTGCCCTTTTAGATAGAGGCAGGACTAATCGGGCCCATCAAGTGCAGTGTTGGACATACCCACCTTTGGCAATATGGAAAAAGGACAAATGTGTGCTCGAAGATCAGTTTGAAGCCGTCAAAGCGCAGGAGCTTGTTGAAAATGTCGTTGGCGTCCCCTATGTTTTCGCTTTCCGCCTTGAACATGTCGTGCAGGAGCGTCATGAAGTACGAGTCCATGACGAGAACGTTGGCCGCTGTCTTCTCGCAGCCGCTTCGTATGTGCCTGCACGATCATTGCCCACGAATAAAACCACTGGCTTGATATCCAAAACCATCATGTTTCAAAGTATTTGAACAATCACTCCAAGCAGTTCCGGGCAGGCTGAGTAGTCGCTTCTCTCGACAATCTTGGCAGTAGCAGCAATCAGCAGTACATGCAGCCAGCAAACCGACCAGAACAGAAGCGCCATTAAGTGACATTTAGGAAGAGTTCCACATCCCCCACAGCAATTGACCCTCTCCTCCTCCCCGTGTCTCACTTCCGGATGACGGCAACACCGACATTGATCCTTTCAGCCAACGGTCCTACTGCTTGAGGAATTGCTCCATGGCTGTGCACGGGACAACTTGCAACTAGTCTGGTGATACTGCAAGTACAGGCTTTGGCAGCTGTGGACAGTAACGGATTCTCACCTGAGCCAAAGATTCACTACTTTGTCGTTCAACAAAGCACCGGGTTGAAGCGTATTCAGGTCTTCTGCGCATAGCGTGATGGTGTTGTTTCCAGTTGGCGAGGGGTATATGTACAGGAAGTCTGCAGATAGCAATTGCATGAGATGCGACTCAGCAAAAAAGAAGAGCTTCTAAATCTAGGTACGCCGGCAAGACTCCCATCGCCTATGAAGATTGCTAGGACCTTCAAGACGAGGCGCTTTCCAGGTCAACAAGCTCGTTGAAAGAATCATGAATCACAATCAAACAATCAGTGCTTAGCCGAAGCGGATTACCTGGAGGAGTGATCAGCCGGGTTCTTTCCGTATAGCTCTTTGCCACAGCACGAAGGATTCTTTCCAACCGATCGCCCCGTTGGCCTGGGGCCAAAGAGTTGGTGCAAATCTTGGCTTGCAACACCAGAACCTTGGAAGAATGTGCTTGGCATGTGGAGAGAAGTGTCCTAACCTCTTCAGCGTTTGACAGTCGTGAAGGTTGTAGCTCCTGTCCCATTTAACATAGATGAAGTAACAGTTTTTCTGAAGCAAGCAGAGACCCAGAAAAGGTTCTTCATCACTGCATAACAAACTCATGAGTGCACCTGCTTCATGTCATCTACTGAAATGAACAACAGCAGCTTAGAGACTCACCAACATGTATTTCGACAGCGGTTCCTGATTCCACCGATCAACAAGCGAAACAAACTGAATGGGCAGGCCCAACGTGGGCCACTCCTCCGGTATTCTCAACGTCACCATGTAACGCTCCACTTCAGAGATGAACCTGATGAGATCGCCCGTGATTTGCTCTTGAGGTGTATCAATGCTCATACTGCAAGACACAGGAGGGAGGCAAAGAAGTGAGAGCTGAAACATGAAAGACATATGGTTCAAGAGGAACAAAAAGCTTTGGCGCCAGTATCAGATCCGAACAAAAGTCCACAAATAATCTCCTTCCAGCGCTACCCGTTAAGAAAGATGCTACTTAGCGGGCGTTCGCAGGGTCAGGTAGGGCCAAAATCGTGTCAGCATATTCGCAGAAAAATACTCGATACGAGAATAGCCGCCGTTTCATCGTTTCTGGTTCAAATCGACTTCCGTTTTTTGCATTGAGTACGCAACTCGCACCTTTAAAATGTACAACCCTCACTTTCGCCAAAAGTGACGAGTGCCCGGTAGTTAGAAATAGTGCCCGGTACATCAACGATTTCGAAAGGGCGCCCCACCGAAGTCGGCCTTGGTTCCAACTTTCGGAAGCCGACATTTGGGCACAGGTAATAGGCCTTGGGAAAGTCTAGTGCACCACATTCCTACTTCCGGAATTTCCGCAGAGATCTGACCTGGGCAGGGTATTTACGGTATCAATTAATACAGATAAATATAATAAAATAAATACATATATCCTCTCGGGGCCGCATCCGATCAGATTTTTGAAAAGTAGGAACGCAGTGCACAAGAGGTACCCTAGGTGGGCTCAGTGCCCGAAAATCACCTCAAAAAAGTTGGGCCGGGTCCGACTTCCGTGGGGCGCCCTTTTCAATATCTGCATGTACCGGCCACTTTTACCACCGACCGGTTGGCAGGCGGAAGTGAAAATTTCTACTGGTATGCTGCGATGAGCTACCGATGGGGTACCGGTAGCAAAAATCAGAACTCAATTTGGCCGAGATTTGAGTAAATGACGAGATCAAACGTCAAAATGCCGAAAAGCCGACAGTGCTGACATGACGGCGGGCTGTACTTGGAGCGTACATGTGTACTTTTGGGTCCGTCCGGGTGTACTTTTAGAAAGTACCGAAATGTACCAACCTTCCGAAAGGTCCTAGGATCGATTCCCACCATCGACCATTGAAGTTCCTTTTTTTCGGGCATTATGTTGCAATTGTTTAAAAGAGTGCCAGGATTGGCCCCACCTGATCCTGCGAACGCCCTAGCACAGCCTATCTAGATGACAGCTGAGCACTTATCAGGAATGTCTACCCTCCCTGCTATGAAATCCTGAAACCCACCTGGTGGTGCTCGCAACTCTTTTTAGAAGAGTGCTGCGAGAACTGCTGTTGACAACAGCGAGGCGACATCGAGCAACGAAATCTTCGATATCCGGAGTACCAATTAATCTTGCCGTTGCCGCCTGCAAGGGCCAGACTGTTGCCGCCTCCTCCCACTGCAATTATTCAAGGGAGATATTAAGTCTCCACAACTGGAACAGCGCCTTATCGGCAGTTCCCCTCCCTGTCAGTTGTCTTTAGCTGGCAACATGCAGTGGTGCGCTCAAACAACCTGCTTATGTCCATGTGATATTGCAATCTCTACACAAGAAATACTTACTTCTGGCCTAGAGCAGCTCAGCATTGCGTGCCTTGATGGGCGTATATTCAGGGCTTGATGTGCGACCTCACCTGCGCTTCCACCACACAACCCATATCAGCGTCCAACTGGATCTGACACTCCAGGGAAAATTGGTGCTCGTCCAAGGTTTCAGGCCCATAAACATCATGAAAACGGAACCAAATCTCCATAGCATAGTTGTGGTCGTCGCACGATGAAGTGCTAACATCGGGAAGCTCTCTAAGAGTCTGCCCCAAAGGCCGCCTACATCAAAACACGTAGATTTACGTTTGGAGGGGTTGGAAACTTGCTGCGGTGGAGACAGGGGGCATGTTCCATTGTAGAAACGAGAGGAAGATACCGGAGAACCACACTACCGAAGAGAACAAGATGCGTTGTGTCGTAAGTGATTGTCCCAACCGACATTGTTCTCAGGAAGTTACATCAATATCTTCCAATGAAAACGAACAGAACAGGGTTTGAACAACACAACAATCAATATAAACCGTTGAGGTCCACAGCCCAGATGATCATGAGCTCATAGATACGCTCTCCAGTCAAGCTGAGGCCTCGGTCATTAGGATTACCTTTCCTTCTGCATTCAGAAAGCCCAAAATTCCAACAAAAGACAGCAGGAAAACGGTAGGAAGTACCTTGGAGGAGGCGACCTTTCAATGGAGAGAGGCTTGTTTACTTCCTTCACTTTAGCTCCAGCTTTCTCCACCGCCCGCTGTCTCTCCACTTCAGCCCTGTCAACTAGCTTTCCAGCCTTCCGGGCGGTCACTATTTGCACACAATCAGGTGTCAAACAGATCCCCTTTGCAAGCTTCTTCCCTCGCTCATGCATCGTTTGAATGTACGGGGGAATCCTTTGTATAAGTTCTACCATCTCTGTTTCAGTCAACTTCTCCTTTTCCCCAAGCTGCTTCAGGGCCTGTAGAATGTCTTGCTGGCTTGCAGGTGACTGCAACCTCCACAGCAGAGCGGCTCCAGTTTTGTCATCCGTATCGCAATGCTCTCTAACTAGACTCCGCATCTGTTTTAAAACTCTCTTCTTCTTCATTTTGATGGCCCTGTACGTAACCTGTGGACTTCGCTTGTCAGCTTTTGCAGCATTCCTCAGCTTCACGTTTTTCAATCCCTTTCCAGCAGAGTGCCCTGTACCAGCAGTTTTTCTATCACTACCGACTTTTGTTTTCCTTAACGTCATCCTGGCTTAGCTAGCAAATGCACTGTTCAAGAATTGTGCAAGGCTACCACAATGCAATGTTCAGCTTCCAAGGCTCTGCCACTTGTGAGAAATGCCAGCGCAAGAAGCTGGCATGACAAAAGGAGGATTTACAATCGAGCAAGTTGAGAAGCGAGCTGACGCCACAGCGAATGTAGGAGCTGGCTGCTGAGCTGCAAAGTTCTGTATACATATGCTGGTGGAAAATGACGAACTAGATACGGTACGGTAGTTCCGGCTTCAAGTTCCGGGCTATCACACTGTAATTTGAGGCATCAGCAACCATTACCGCAAGAGGGTAGTACCATTACCGTACGACTTGGCCGGAAGGCTGACGTGGCAGCTTCGGTGGAAATTAAAGATAATTATTATTTTCTTCCGACCGACCGACCCACCCCCGAAGGGGGTGGACCGGAAACCGGGAATTAAATTCGAGTCGCCTTAGGGGGCTCTTTAAGTTTCAGAGTCTTCAGGACCCATCCCGGCGATCTGAATGGTCGAGTGACGTAAGCTTAACGCCGTCGACGAATTTAAGACTTCGCCGAATGAAAGAAGTTGGTTTGGTGTTAATAATAAGGACCGAGGCAGACTGAGAGGCGGTGTCAAGGCTCCGCGCTGAGCCGCAGTCTGAATTGGTTGGCACTTCCTCCGGGTTTTCGGTAGGTATAACCCTATACTCACAGGCAGCACTGTGAATGGTCGCACCGATTTTGTTGTTTGTGTCAATGTCCCAGCACAGCAGCGTGTTTTTGAAAAGTGACACTATGAGCAACGTTCGGTGGACAAATGCAGGCCTGGGGGCCTGTCTGCCGAGCTTGCACCGATATTGCAACTGGTGTCAAGCAGTCAAGTTGAGCGTGCACTTTGAGATCGTTTGCACCAGGTTCGACAAGTTTGGTGACCGATTGGAAGTGTCAGTAGATGCGGGACTGTGCTCCGCTAAGCTCTGTTGACACTACAAAGCTTCCGGGGGCCCAAGAGCCCCCGGCACGCCTAGTTGTCATTGTTGGGGATCCTGCTTCGTTGATCTGCTCCGGGCGGCTGCAATCTCCTAGAAGCACAAAGGGCTTCCAGCGTCGAAAGGCAGAGAGCCCTCGTGTGGGGGATGCCCAATCTGTACGACAGCTGCCGTCCCGCGTCCACTTTTCCGAAGGGAAGTTTGGCAGGCTGTTTCAAGTTTGTGCCTCTTGCGCCAGCTTGAAGATCAGGTAGTTTGCGCTAGGGGCGCGTCGTCGACAAGCTTCGAGGGACTCGGTCTTCAAGCCAAGGCAACCCTGAACAGTGAGCTTTTCTGGAAAGGGCAGGCACTAACCCTGAGTAGGACGGTAGCAGATAAGCACCTCAGGAGTTAAGAGGCCAGCAAGCATGACAAAAACAGATGCGCTTGTGGGAGACTCAGCAAGCGACAGCAGCATGAGTAAGTGGCCGGCGGACAAGAGGGTAACAACTCTCTGAATCTCGCGCTGTTTTTTTGCCAAGCACTCAAAGCTGTGTTTGTTCAACATGTTCCCATCCTTTTTGGCCATGTGCAGCAGGAACTCCAACTAGGTGCTCCTTAACTCCGCAACCCAACCTCTGCAAGGCAGAATTTGGAGGCTGATTACATGTCAAAAGATTAACTTGTTTGATTCAATTTCTGCAGACACGAAGTCCCGGCTATGGCGGCATATGAAGAAGTTGGTCCAATATCCGGTGAGCAGTCGTGCGCAAGTTCTTTGAATATAATGCTTATATCCAAGATTTGCCAGCATGTGTAAGCAAAGTGTGCACCAGATTTTGTGGTCACGCTCTGAATCTTGGATTCTGTGGCACGATGCGACTCTACGTCTTATGAGGACTCTGAGCCCTGCTTCAGAACTCTTTCTGTAATCGATGTGACACTGACTCGTGACGCTATGTTGATTGCAGGCAGTGCTGCAGAAGAAGGCGACAGCAAGGTAAGTGAAAGTCATGGTTGCAGGATGCGGGTTTATTCTGAGCATCTCCTCCTCAGCATTGCTTTGTTTTGAATCTTCTCCTTCCCCCCACTAACAGGTAGCTGGGCAGTTGCGCCACAAGTGCGCATCTCTTCCGATCCTAGTATGATTGTGCAGTGGCAGCACTTCAAGAGCGGTCTTAGCGTCTGACAGGCGGACTGGTCTGCATCTTACTGTGACAGGCTGTGTGTGTTCAGACACTGGGTGGCATCAGCGGGGCATCAGTGCTGGACATCAAACCTTAACGCAGCCCGGCACCGTGCTCTGCGGGTATGCATAAAAGGTCCCTGATGCCTGATACGTTCCCTTCTCAGGTACGCTAAGTGGGACACAATTTTGGACACCAAGGAGCGCGAATTCTGCGAAGCAGTGAGCTCCGGGACTTTGCTCAACTGCCCGTTCGATACGAGCCTGCGTCTGGAGGGGGAGGACTTTCGCAGGTGGTCCGCTAGCACAGATCGTGACCTGATGCTGTGGCTGATTGATGGGGAGGTGTGGATAGTGGGCGACAGGGCCAGCGCCTGCCACGAGCTGGCGTTCACGGCATTTGAGCTCCTGGAGGAAGGCCTAAACAAATGTAAGCTCCCTAATCCCAAGGCAGTTGTAAGCTGACTCTTAAGGATTTGTCGAAGCATGTGCCTTTGCTGCACCTTGCCAAAATGTGGGGAGGTTTCTTGACCAGGGAAAATGGGCCCCATCTTCCTGCGGTCCACAGCCTTTGCTTGGGGGTAGTGGTATTGACGTGGGTAGAGTTCTTGACTGAAAACTTCTGCTGCATGCAGTGGTTGCCTTGGATGTCCCGCCTCTCGACGAGCTCGACGGGCACCTCCGAAACGGACAATCCTTCTTGGAAGCATCAATGGGGGGATACCATCGAAATTGGAGGCCGCGCATTTGGGGCAAGAACCCCCCCATCCTCATACATAGCTTCGACTCTTGGGCGTCCTTTGCATTCATGGGGATTGTGATGGACAAGTAAGTTTTGTCTTTTCCACGTGGTGCTTCTTGCAGTAACTAAATGCAAACTTGGCTCCTTTTAAGACGCCTGGTCTTGGCGGTACGCACGGAGCGGCTGGTTTACGTGGTCTTGCGAGTACTTCTGCACGCACTAAAACTTAGGAGGTAAAGATATAAGGATTCGAGTGACGGCAGTCGTAATGGATGATGAAGAAGGAACTCGAATCTTTGTGGGGACCAGACAGATGCCTTTCAACATGTCCTTTGGCACAGGTTCATTCACATGCCGGGGGTGCACTTGTGCATTGGTGTCAAGGCCGAGAAGGGGAATACCGCAAAATGCATCGCTGTCGCAAGGTGGAGGGACCCCGATCATGAAGGAGGCATAATAGAAGACAACATCGATGGACTTCGGAAAACGTTGGAGATTCCCGTGAAGGCCTGTTTTGAGGGCAAGAAGCACATGATGCCTTCTGAGCTGCAGGTGAGTGAAAGTCGTTCTAGAGTCTGCGTTGGGATTCACCCCCGTCTTCCATCCGCAAAGGCTCTTTACCGTGCACTTGTTTGCACCGCTTAAAAGTGGCCTTACATAAAACGTGCATAACCCATGGGCATTTGCTGTTTGCAGGCATTCAGTGAGAGGAATGTCACAATAAGCCTAAGCTGGCTGGCGTTCAAGTACTCAAAGATTTTGCGCCAGCAAGAAGCAGCCGGAAAACAGTGCTCTTAAATTGTATCTTCGGAAAGAATTGAGCACTGAAACGCTTTGCAAGACAAGGCAGTCTAGTGCCGGTTTGTTTGTAAATAAGTCTTTGTCTTAAGTGTACGTTCGAGCAACAATCAACGAGTATAAGATAGCTCAAAGCCCGAGATTTTGATCAAGAATGTGTGAGTGTCGTCAAATTCAATATGCAGAAGTCTAACAAGCGTATGTTTGATTTGCGTGGATCTGTCAACGTCGGCAACTTTTATCATCTTCCGGCATGCGTATATCTTGACAATCTGTCAAGTCTTTCATGAACTGCATGAAGAAGCGAAAAACTCCGCGCTTGGAGTTCACAGCATGTGGGACTCATGCATCCAACTGCCAGCGTTTTCTCTTTAACGCAAGCTAGCATAGCGCTGGCTCTCGGGGCCTGCACGTATCATACATAGTTGCCGTGTATACATGGCATGCTAGTGCCGGGGGAGACTGCAAGCCGTATACGAGTCGCTCCTATAGCTTGCAAATCTGCTCCCGTGTCATCGCATTGCACTGCAGTTATACCAGAATGGCCGGGCGCTCCTACTTGCTAGTATTAAGTGAAGCCTGAGCTAGGCTCAGCATTACCTTGAAACGATGGCGATCAATTGTCCGATGATCTGGCAATCGTTCTGAAGTCCTGAACGAGCGCATCAATACACAAACTGGTCTCTGAATGCATGATGGCGAACAGCTGGCCCTAATCGACTCTCCCACAAAAATCTGCACGCACGTTTGATTGCTATATATAGTACAAAATTGCCATTCTCATGCGGTGGCAAGTTCCATGTGAAAGCAAGTTTTTCTATGCCCGTGCAAATTCAATAAGTTGGAAGGTAGCAAATCAACTGGAACCGATAATGATTGGCCTATGAGATTGATAATGAATCTCTTTCGGAAAGCACAGATAGCTAGGCCCAATTGAAGGGTTGCTTCCTCCTTCTGCCCCGCATGCAGTCATTATAGAAACAACAATGTCGTTAAGCTTACGACGAATGCCACTTTCGCTGGCCCAGGTTTGTTCGAAAAGTGGCGCCTAGAGCACCTCCTCAAACTCGCGGCCTTGCTCCCGCAGCGCCTTGCGCGCGAGCATCTCCGCGTGCATCTCCCGCTCCTTGGCGCCCTTGGACCCCTGCTCGTACGTCACCCGCCGCACGTTGCTCTTGCGGCCCCTGCACACCCGACAGCGTCAATTCAGGAGTTGTCAAACCGGGAGACATGGAAGCCCTCACCGGCAAGAACGATCGCTGACCAAGTCGAAAGGAAAAGCAGAAGATAGAGTGGAGAGTGAAGATAGAGGGGCAATCTTTGTATGACATTCCGTTACGAGCACTTGGAAGAAGGAACCGAGGAGTTGAACGGACGGACTCAGCCCAAGCCGCAACCGTCCGTTTTGAAACATCAGGAAGGCACTTCGTGGAAAGGCCCCGTCGCACCGTCAAACAGGGTTGCTACTGTTACAGCTCCTGAAATGATGACCAAGAGATCCCTGGAGGGCAATGGGCGGGGCTACCAGTCTTACAGCCCCTAAAAGAATGAGCAATTGAGCCTCGAAGGGCAAAGGGCGGAGGCTTACTTGCTCGGGACGCGGGGCTCTATTAGGCCCCGGCGTTGCAGGCTCTTGAAGCGGTCTTTTGCAAGGGCGGGGTACGCCTGCGAGCACGTCAACACAACGTCGCGATGCGTCAGCCTCAGCCGTTGTGACGAAGAATCGTACATCACTTGTCACAAAACGAGGCAACATCGCGAGAACAATAAGTGAAGCAGATCAGACCACATGCTATCCAGCCTCAAGGAAAAACGAAAGATGAACTCGTGATTGCGGATTGGAGACAAATTGCTGTTCTGGGTTTCTGGACCAGCGAAAAGCAAACTGCTTTCAAAGAGGTAAGCAAAAAAGAGAGACCGCAATGTACACAAAGATCAGCGCAACTAACCCACACGCACGCACTCACCTTCATATTGCGAAGCGATCCCGTGAGCTCGTCCGACAGCAGCACGTGCACTGGCTCCGGCTTGAATCTGCACGGCGGAACGGCGGAATGCTCAAAATGAAGGGATTCACCGGAGGCTGTTCTACATAAAGCGGCAGGGCTGCAACGGCTAGCTTCCACATAGCCCGGTCGGCCCTGAACGCCGTCACCAGGGGAAAAGCGGCTTAACACTTCCAATCGGCGGGACGACCAGTGCAAACGGTTATGTGGCAGTGTTTCTGCATTAAGGGGCCCCGACGCAAAGGGGCCACTGACCCGCACCCACGGGCTTTGCCGCCCAATACAGCTGCCAGACCTGGATATCCGTCCATCTTTTTTCCGGATATCAGGGCTTGAGACCTGCAGTATTCGACTCTTCAAAGCAACGAAGGCAGGGCGGCCTCACTTGTGCTTTCCCAACCGAGGAGGTGCCGCCGCAGCCCGCTCTGCGGCCGCAATCTTCTTGCGCAGAAGGCGCATCTCCTTCTCGCGCTGCTCCGCTTCCACGTCGCCCATGATCTGCTCCAGCCTGCAGAAAAAGCGACGCCCGGTGCTTGAGGGCATCGATCGTTTGAAGCCACCAAGACGTGATACCAAACCCGTGCTTTACCTGCTGAACTACATCCTAGACCGGTGCACGATCCGAACAAAATTGACCAGGAACGTTGCGCCCCTCGCAATCTGTACATAGACTACAGCGAAGGAACAGGCTTACCAAAAGGGACACCAACAAGGAAGAGGATGCTCTTGCACGAGCAAGCAAACATGATGGACTGGCAAGCAGTATAGGCTTCGCGTACAGATTCCTCCCATGAACATGCTTCAAATCAGGTATTCTGATCCGTAGGCACATTTAAGCGGGGCCGAGCTAACTTCTTGGTTTGGACACGGCAGGCAAAAGCGGTCAAACTTGTTCCTTCGAGTTCAAAAAGGTGAAAAGACGTCGTTAAGACAAAGTCCGCCGCACCTCTCGAGGTCCGTCCTCAGTTTCTTGAGCTCTTTCCGCTTCGCTTCCTCGGCCTCCTGCTTCAGCCGCCGCATCCGCCGGTTCAGGTCCACACGCGTCAGCTTGCCGCTCGCGTCAGCCCTACAAAGCGCAAAACAGACCGTTTGATTCGATCCCGACGTCGAAAAGAGTATTGCTGACCACTGGTGCAACATATTCAACGGCCGACTTTACCGAAAGTTAAGAACTACCGTTTGATACTGATGGGAGAGGGCCACGATGCGTGTAGAAAAGAGCACTTTGCTTGAATGAGAAGAGTGCCAACGATGTAGCTACTATTGAAAGGAAAAGCGCCTGTTGGTCTGGTACTGGACATCATACAGGGGTTGTCGCTTTAGGTCGAGTAACCTCCATTGACAAGTGCCAGGGAGACCAATCAATTTACATTCAACACGAAACCCGCTCCTGAAGAAGCACTCGAAAACGCTGGTACATGAAACCATCTGCAGCCAGATCAAACAGACGCAATAACAAGTCAAACGTATCGAAGAGCCAGCGAGAAGAGCCAGCGAACACTGCCAGCCCCACCTTCTTGACGTCGACACCTGCGCTTCCTCTGCGTCCTGCTCGTCTTCTGCCTCCGAAGTGCCCGCCGCTTCGTCAGCCTCGAGGAAGAACCGCTGCATGAAGAGGGGAAGAGAGAGCTAAGAAACAAACCCCGATAGTCGGGCCTCTGAACCGCGGGGACAACATGTGCTTTCGGCGGGGTGTTCTATATGTCCCAAAAACGAGGGGAGTCCAGTGTGTCGACGAAAGCCGTGAAACTTGCATCAAACGCAGACTCGCGCTGCAATATGTTGACCCTGCATTCAACGGGCCCGAGATGGCAAAGCTCGTGCTCTCGTTGTTCTCAACTCCACACGTCATGTGTGTCGAGAGCGAAATCAAGGGTGGCGAGCTCCGCAAATATCGACAAACCTTCGCTTGTCCTTAGACGCCGCTCCAGATCGTTGCGCGATCAAGTTTTCGGCTCAAAGTCCATTCCAGTTTGAGAATTACGTTTCTCAACCAGTTTTTCAGATTCTGGGCCGAACCAGGTACTGTGCACGATCAGGACAACAAACAAACGCACAAAGCCTCGCTGACCATTGCCCTCTCAAGTCCTAGAATACCTTGACCAGAACCCCTGGCAAAACTAGACCGCAGACCAATACCTCCCAGTATTAAAGGTACACCAGCTATTTCAAACAGGCACCACCATCAAAGGATACTTTGCAACGGCAGGTGATCGACCAACTCGCGATACTGAGAGTGAGTTTGCATGAATTGAGACGTTCTCCTACACCAGGCTTGCTGAGACACGAGTCTAAAACAAGAGACGGATTGGTCAAGGCATCATCAGGTGGCCCATGATGAATGACGATGTCTCATTGGGGCCCCAACCGGAAAAGCAGCAGAATGATTCTTGAGCTCCCACCTCTTCTTCGTCCCAATCCTGTGCACCGTTGCTGGCCCGTTGCGGGGGGGTGGGCTCAACCGCCTTTGCGTACTGCTTCTGCATCTCGTCAGCCACGGCCTTGGCCAACGCATCCTGCAATCACCAAAACCGCTTTCAGATTTACATGGGGTGATACTGCTCCGAATTACGGGTTACAAGAGCTGGCTATCGCAACTCGTAAGGTGCAAACCTCGAAACTGGTGACCAAAGCCAACCAGAGACTTGACGCCCATCGCTTGCCAAAAGGCATTGGGAAGGACTCTCGGTCTGTCGCCAAGCGCCCAAGGCTCACCTATCCTATAGATTCATAACTGAGTTGGATTTGTTGTCTGTTACAAACAATGACAAGGCTCTTAGGCTCAAACATAGAAGCCCAAGTCTCCTTATAACAGACTCCCACTTTTTAAGGCTTGATAAGCTGTTTCCCCCCAAGATACAACGAAGGCTGACATGGCTGAGCCAACGATGCAAACAGTCCCGACTGCTGAAAAGAGTCACCAGAATAAGGTAACACTGATGCCTGAACTCACCTGATGGTCTTCAGTGTCGGGATTGTACGAGCAGCCTGGAAGGTCTACCTCCACTGCGGGTGCAATGCTTTGCGGCCTCTTTGCCGCCTTCTTGGACGGCTGTGCGGAAGCATCTGCAATGCAGAACTGGCGCTGCTTTGAGTGATCAGACGAGAACAAAAGCTGAAAAGTGGTCAAACTATCTCCTTGAGATTGCATGCAGTACCGCGGGCATTGAGAACGTGGTCTGAGCAGACCACCGAAAGGGGCAGATATTCTGCGTGCAATACCAACCGGGCTTAACTTGCAGACAATCAGTTTGATCAGTGGCCAACTGACTGAAAGACCGTCCTGGTCCAGTGAAAGAAGAAGAGCTCCGTTCCTCAGGAGCATGGCTGAGATAGCAAGGCTGCTCGTTTCGCAGAGCTTAAAATTGCTCACCGTCCCAGATGTCCAAGACGCGCTTCTCCCCCTTGGTTTTACTCTCCTGCAAAAGCCCAGACCAAGGAATGTGGGTGACCTGATTGTTCGTTCCACAGAATTGCCAAGGGGTATTCAGCAGTAAGGGGCGCCAGGGCCATAAGAATGCGGCCTGCCCCACTGGAAATTCTGCGCCGATTGCAAACCCTAATCTAGATTAGGGTTCCAATGTGAAACACGCCGAAGCGAGACTGCTATCTTTACGCACTTGTTCACATGCCTTGACAAGACTTCACATAGCTAGGACTCCTCCCATGCCTGACGACCATTACCATGCTGGTTCAGTTGACAATACTGAGGTGGTGCATATGCGCAGAAAGACCCAGAGTTAACGACCCACCTTTTTGATACTGACTGCAGACCCAGTGAGCTTTTGCGGTGCAGCCTTATTCTCTGCTGCTTTCTTTCTGGTTGACCATCGCACGGGCGCCACGAGAGAGCTCCTCGCTAAGATGCTCTCACAATGCAGCGGGCCCTTGTTCCTGACCTTGTTCACTTTCCTCTCTACCGCAAGATCTGCAATGAGCATCCGACTTTGTCAGCAATCTCAATCTGCAACAAACAATTCACTCAAGTACATGGTGAGAGAATGCAGGCCTGCATTGCAACCATCAATATACACCACCACTTTCAAAATTTCTACTCAGCAGTCGCCACCAATCATCAAGATGACAAACAGCTGCAACTATCAAACCCAGCACGTCCTAACTTAATCTCCACCTCACCTTTTTCTTTATCCACAAAAAAGAGCGCATCGTCTGGCAGCTGGTCGAGCGGTCCTCCCACCCTGGCCTCCTTGGTGCTCTGCTCCACCAGCTCCTCGTGCGCCTCAGAGCTGATGTTCTTCCGCCACGCCTTTTTGCCCTTGCGGGACGTCTTGGCCTTCCCCATGCTGCTCAAGCTGTTTTTGCCTCAGAGTCTTCGTGTACCTGACGCTGTTTTGATATTATTATTGCGCCCACAAAGCAGAGCTCGAGGAAAACAAGCGGCAGAGGGGCGCAGGCTGCAGCTCTTGCCAATAGGTATCTTCACGACGATTTTCAAGTTTAGAACGGTACTAATCATTATGGTAATGGTTGTATCATCACCGTTTTGTGACTCTGACGGTGATCTGGCACTGACACGTTCCCTCGCAAACTGTTCTCTGCCTAGTTGTTGAGTCTGCTGGTTTCATGGCGGTTCAATTCCCTCGGAAGGAAGACAAGAAGGATTTCGTTGGAGTGTGTGTGATCGAAGAGGCCCGAGGGGCGCCGAACGTTTTCACTCCAGGGCAGGTTGCTTCACGCTTTTGTCGATTCTGTGATGTTTGATGTGGGGAATTACTGCAGTGCAGTTGCCCACAACTTATCTGATCAGAGGTAAGTCTTCCAAAATGTTCCCAGCTTTTCGTTTGAGGTTTCCTCGATCTGCTCGAACCAGTTCTGTTTTAGTGGATTGTTGCACTTCAGGGTGAGCTGCAGTATGCAGCATTGGTTGAAGCTGCTTATACTTGAGGCACCCTTTGATGCATGGTGGTGCTAAGTCACCTGCAGCTGGTGTCCCTTTCCTGAGAAGCACCACCAATCAATCATGCACCAGAAGACCTAGCAAGATGGTATGCCTGTTTGGTGACACTGTTTTCGCTGCTCTGATATTGAAAATGTCCAGTTTGGTACTGATTGAAAAGGCTGGCCAGCGTTCAGTAAGTTCAGAGCTTGCAGAGTCTTGGGTGCGTCATTCGTTGCCTCGCTTGCTTGAATCCATGGCCAGTTCATCCATGGCCAGTTCAGATGGAATTGAGAAACCTGCACAATTTTCTTTGCGATTATTCAAGCAACCTTGAAGACAGCTCCTGAAGACACTCTACTCGCTTGTTTGCAGGCTGTTGGTTAATTTTGTCAAGAGGTTTCTTCCCTCAACTTCTCCCTATCACTCGGTCCTCTCTGTCTAGCGCTTCTTCGCTACCTCTGATTCTATAATCATAAGGCACCATGGCAGCAGCCGCGCAGTCCCAAGCCCCTGCCCCTGCAGAGAGCATGGACTTAGACAAGCCTCATCACAGTGGCCAATCCCAAACCCCCCAGCCCCCTGTCGCAAACCCCCTGGAGGAACAAGACCAGAGCTCCGCAGAGCAGGCAAGCACATCGGGCCGGCCCCAGCAGCCGGGAGGCAGCCTCGACGAGTGCCTCGCTCTTCTCCGGGGGGGGTCCGACGAACAGCGCCTAGTGGGCCTCCTCCTTGCCACCCGCTTCGTCTCTGCAGGCGACTTGGCTGCCGTCGAAGCGGTGTTTGATGCAGTTGGATGGGCCTTCATCGGGCGCCTTTTCCGGACCGGGGGAGGCCAGCCGCTGAGCCCGTACGCTGCTTTGGCCCTCAGTCTAGTTAGCGCCTTTGTCAGAGTCCCCCGGCTGGCTGCCGCAACTGAGGCCATTGAGCGGGTGCCGTTGTTCCTGGGGGTCGTGAGGGGGGGGGCGGATGCAGGCCCTGTCCAGGACGCGCTCGAGTGCTTGCTCGCGGTTGCGAGCGCCTCTGACGAGGGCCTAAGAGTGGAGCTCGAGTCGGGGGGGGTGGCCGCGGTGTGCCAGTGCCTTGGGCGTTTCACTGGGGGAGAAGAAGCGTGGTTTTTAGACGGCGTGAGATTGCTCGGGACGCTGCTTAGCGGGGGGGCGGGCAAGGAGAGCTTTGTGCAGGGGGGGGAGGTTGCGGTGCCCGTTCTGGCTCAGGAATTTGCGGCGCGAACGGACATGCTGGTGTTTGAGTGCTTGGGGTGTCTCGTGGGCGTGCTGAGTCACCAGCAGGGGGTCCCCGAGACAGGGAAGTGGGAGGACGACGTCCGAAGAGGAGTCCAGAACCTACTTCAAAGCAAAAACGTAAAGGCGGAGCACAGGCTGGGGGCGCTGGAACTAGCACGTCTGATGGTGGAGGCAAAAGGCGAGAACTGGCTGTTGGGGAGCATGGGTAATGAAGGGCAGTCAAAGATGAAGGGGGACAACTTTCTGCTGGTTCTGCTGAACACCGTACGGGTCGAGGTCGCGGTCCAGCTCAACGAAGTGGCGCGCGCGCTGTTTGGCGAGAAGGGGACTGGGGTCGTCGCGCCAGCATTGGCGGAGGCCGTCACCAGCTGCTACGCCCTGCTCGAGGCGGGTGTGAACGCGCTCGCCGAGGCGGCCGCTGCTGACGTCAGCACGGTCACACGCACCACCGGCAAGGGATCCCCCAAACCTCAACTGAGTGCTGACACGGCCCAGAAGGCGTTCGGGGCCGCCAGCGAGGCGGCAGCCGTCGTGATCGACTTACTGGAGCAGGCAAAGGAGCACGGCCGGAATTCGGACGATTTTGTGCTCGCAAGTGTCCGAGTGCTCGGACGGTTCCTGGCGGAGGCGCCCGAGGCGCACCGGGAAAAGGTGGCCGGGATGCTGGGGTTCTTGCTCGGAGTAAAGGGTTCGGACGATTCGGACGGAGGTCAAAGTGGTTCGGACACGGGTAGACGAGGCCCCTATCTGGGCGGGGTGTGGTGCTTGCTGCCTGCGCTTGGGCAGATATCGGAAGACGTTGAGTGGTGCAAGATAATGGTCCGGGAGAAGGCGCACCGGGCCGTTGGGGAGTTCGCACGGGACGCGATTGCGGCGCAACGTGGCCAGCCCGCTCCGGCCTCGAGCTCGCACGACATGGATCTAGAAGGGGGAGAGAATCTTGCGGAGGATCCGGCAGACGGGATGATTGCGCGCGCCCTCGATGTCGTCCTCAACGTGCTGGACCAGCAGGCGGCCGGCGGGGCCAAGGTCCGCTTTGCTGACGTCAGCACCGTCCTGCCGGCTCTGCTGACGTGGATTCGCGCGGCGCCAGAAAGCCCCCTGCGGCTGGCGCTCTCTTCCGCCGTCATTAGCAACGCACTCCTACTCGCTGACGAAAAGACGCTCGGGGAGCGTGGTCTCGATCTAGGGGGGCTGCTCGACGCGGTCGTGCGGTTTCTGGACGAGAGCTTTGCTGCGCTCAAGCGGGATGGCACGGTTTTCGACCAGGAGCTATGGGAGATAACCCTAGCGGCGGCTGCGGACCTCCTGGAGAAGTTCCCAGGGTTTGAGAGCCGGGTGACGAGCTCCCGGTGGATGCAGGAGGTGGGCGGGGACCAGCTCTCCCGGGCGACGATGGAGCACTACTCCGGGCACGGGGCCCTGCTGAACTTCCTCGCGGCAGCGGCCGAGAGGGAGGAGCGTGGGCCGTGAGTTGGGGGAAGGATGATTAGAGATGTAGGCTAATACGCTCTGAGTGCTTAACCAGTGAGCTTTCGGTGCGCGATTTGCAGGCTAGAGAAGCTTCGAACCAAGAGTTTGAGACGTTCGAGAACAATCAACATGGAGCTAGCTGTATAGAGCGGAGAGCAGTGCCAATAGTGATGTTGTATATGGACTGGGACTACATTCGTCCGACGAGCCTGTCAGAGCCATGGACCTACAGGTAGGCTGAACTCACCAGAATCGATTGAAATGGGTCTGGTTCGCCATGTAAAGATCTGTTTAGAACGACTTTCTAAGTTACCAATTAAAGAGTCTTCTGTGGGCTGAGATATGCGAAGCACTCGAACCACTTAAGGTTCGGGTGCTTCACTCCCTCTGTATGATCTATCTGGAGCATATAGCGAGTCCGACCCGACTAACTTCAGCTTGCCAAGCTCGTGCACGTGCGGCCCGGCCCTCGAGTGGGGAGCATGATTGGGATGCGTGCAATCACCGCGACTTCATGTTGATCCCATACAACGCAAATACAAAACTACTTATAAGCTATATGCACATGTCTGGTAACAGCAATGTGCATCAGTGCGCGGCTTGACACATGCACTTGATATTGAGCCAGGTGCCATGTGCATCGGTGGGGTCTGTGTGCTGACGTCAGCCATGTAGCTGTATGGCATGGTATATCAAGCTATGGCTCCCTACCGCCCATGTCTTTGTACGTGCATACAAAGATAGAAAATCAAAACGTGCAGGTATGCTATATAAGCTTCGTGCAGGACATATGCGCAACATGACAGAGCCAGAGCTGCGGCTCAGTGGATAGCTTGCATGAAGGCAAACATACTGGCAATTGGACACACGAGTATATCACATGATGTGAACTTCAAGCGAAGTTTTTCGTTTGTTATGCAGTTCATGAAAGACGGGACAGACTGTCAAGATACGCGATGAAAGAGTTGCCAAGATTGACAGATCATGCAGATCAAACATACGTTTTTTTAAATTTCTGGACCGTGTTAGATTTGACGGCACTCAAACTTTCTTGACTGACATCCCAGGCTTTAAGCTATACTAATACTCGTTGATTGTTGCTCGAACCCACACTTAAGACAAAGAATTATTCACAAACAGACTGCACTAGACTTTCTTGACTAGCAAAGCGTTCAATGGCTATCCTTGCACACAAAGCACGAGATAAGAGTTTGGCTACTCGGCAAGGCTGCATACACTGTACAGGACGGAAGGCTACCTAGACTTTGCACAGCGAGGCTGCGTGATCTTGCACGCGAAGTCAACACAAAAGTCCAACCGGGGGACTAGGACTGCGGGAGGTGCCGCTCTTTCAAGAACCGACGCAGCACAGAGAGCCCCACCGGCGTGAAGCGTGCGGTCTGGATAAGCTCCTCGACCTCATCAAGGTCCATCCACTTGCACCACTGCACTTCTTCCACCTGGCAGAATGGATTCGACCATTAAGAGCTTTTATGGACGGGACACGAAGTTGGCCGAAGCTACACATTCTAAAAGCTGAGCTTGATCAAATAGGTCAAGGGGCGTCGTTGGCAAAGGACAATTGGCACAGGGTAACGAAAGACCGGAATGTTTCTTGTAACAATAAGAAAACGACGCCTCCTAAGAACCAGGCGAGGATACTACGAATGGCAGCAAACTTGTAATGACAAGAAAAGAACGCTTTCTAGCGGATTCAGGAGGCAGTCACTTTCCCGTTCAGGGCGCCGGAGCTGGCCTTTCATGCCGACTTCGTGCGTTGCAACCGTCAAGATTTACTTTCGAAGGGAGAGGAAGCCGGCAACAGCGAGTCACAAACTCGATCATCGAATTTGCCGAGTTTCAAGCGAATTTCAAGCCTACCTGCAGATCAAACGTCTCGCAGTCCGTCACGTAATGGTATCCGCAGCCCCAGATGCGGCAGTACTCGTCGACCCACTTGAACAGAAACAGCGGGGTCAACGCCTTCCTGCAAAGTTACATGGAAACACGGTGTCATTTGGGCTGAAAGAAAGCCTGAACGCGGAAGGAGACAATCCGTTCACAGGCAGTGCAACTCAATGATAACAGAGATATTTTGGAGTAAGTGTGCTCGCGATTCAATCAGCTCCGTTGAAAATTGTTGCAGACGAGGGAAGAAGGGGTTGATCTTTTACCTGTCGACGGTTTTCAGGCCCAATTCTTCGGACAGCTCTCGGACAATTGTGTCCGAATACTCTTCCCTGGAGCGCAACAACATGAGAGTTGGCTGTCAGTTTGCATTGACTGGAGCCCTCTTCTAGCTTTCTGTAGCAGTCTCTGGCCTTTCCAAGTACAGATCGACAAACAATACAATCGAGTAGCACCTGCAGCAACTGCAATACAAGGCACAGGGGACTACAAAATTGCTAGCAAACCTTTTCTGTCACACTGTCCAATTTTTTCTTCGCTGAAAGGTTCCGTGACCGTACCCGACATTCACACAGCCTGAGACGACGACGTCTAGGTGCCCTGGATACAAGTCCTGCAGAGGCAAAAAGAGATGTTAGAGAGGTTTCAAAATGAATCGAAAGCTTTGGCACTGAGCAAAGTTTTACCTGGAAAAATGAAGAAGACTCGCGTATACTTCTTCTTACTAAGGAACCAGGCAGGACCAGATTGGGTCCTGGGTCAAGCAAGGAATTAGATCGGTCAGAAGAAGCATCATTCGATTGTAACCTCTTTATGCGTTTTGGTGGATCCCAAACAGGAGGCAATTGACCGCAAGAGCAGAAGCCAACAGCGTAGTTCTCGAAAACTACTTGAACCACAGGTTGTTTACGAGTGGATGAAAATTGCAATGATTCCTCTCTAGAGCGCCTCAGAAATCAGGGATCAAGCTTCTGGGGTGAGTTGCGCCGCAGAACTGCCAGATTGCGCCCAAAACTTGGTGCCGCTTACTTCTCCGCTAACTTGCAAAGGGCTGAACTATTCAAGCGCGTCACAAAATGCATACCCTCCAGCGCACACAATCAAGCAGAAATGCATTTTGGAAAATCTTAAGACAAAACACTTTCATCTCTGAATTGAACTTTTGCATAAGCACCTCTCCTGAACCTGCTCGTGTTAGTAACAGCACAAGAAAGGGAGGAGGCATGACAAGTTCCTTCCAGTCCCTCCATGGTTATTGACTCTGCTGGTCAGTCCACTTGAATTGCAGCTCATTAGCAGCTTAAGCTTAAGTCCACACAGTCCAAACAGAACGCATTTACACCACACAGAAAATCTTGCTCTCCATCGTTCTAAAACCACACCTCAAGTTGATCACAGTTCATTGGTGATTACCACTCTCTCACACAACCTGCAATCAACAGAATACTCTCACAAGAAACTTAGACCAGTTCTTCTCCATTCGTCAGCTCTCCTCACCTTCTCCTCAGTCCTCTGCGTCACCAAGAGCTGGCCCCTCCGATTCTGAACCAGGCAGTACACCCCCCGGCCCCACAACCTTTTGCCTACCGTGTCTTGTCGACTCGCTTCCCCCACTACGTGATTCTCTTCATCTACGATGATGCACCTTTCGACTTTGGCAGGGCTGTCCTCCAGGCCCTTGTAGATCTCCTTCTTCTGCGCGCCATTTTGCTTGATTGCGGGTCTCTCCACAATCAGATTTGACTCGGATGCTCTGGCTTGAACAGAAGGCCTGCGCCTGGGCCCCAGTGCAGACTGACACGCAAGGAAGTCGAGTGTGGCCTGTTGAGAAGGATGACCACGACCATTCATCCCACCCTTCGCCGTTCTCAACAGCAGCCTTGCCCTTGATCTGATTGCGTATCCTGATCCCCATCTTGTGCGATGTGTGCCTACGCCCCCTGCTTGAAAGCTAGAGTCCAATGCTGAACTGCACGTGACTTCCGTCCGGGTCGTAGTCCCCTGTCTAAGCGTGGCAACGGCTGACTTCTTATCCAACTTGACAGATTTCGGGAGCCTGAGCGCACCCCTCTGATTTGCCAGCAATTTATCAGATCTGCTTTGAAGTGCGGGGATCACAGAATGCGATGCTCGCAAGCCCGCATCACATCCTGCGGCATAATTCCTTAAGGAGGCTTTGCTTTGAGAGGGAAGCCGCACAGCTGCTGCCATCTCTGAGCAGGAGTGTCCTCTGATCAGCTTTTGACAACAAACATGGCCCAGTGTAGAGAAAGCCAACCAGTGATGATCAAGGACAACCTGCGCGGATTGAGTGACCACTGCTGATGGCGTCAATGCTTTCTAACGCCACCTTAGGAGGCGCTGCTTCTTGGGGTCACGGTTAAAAAAGAGCTGATCTGCAACCGAAGGCAATGCGGCAGGGAGATCAGGTCCTGATAAATGCCCTCGACAGCGCCACCGTGACTGCGGTGCTGCTCAAGACGGGCTCAATCAAACTTCATGAAGAGGGCGCCATATTGCGCAAAAACTTTCGCCCTCAGGCTGCTGACACTGGCATGCCAGGTGGAGCCCAGATCTTTTTGGCGCGAACATGGCATGCATAAAATCACAGGCAAACCAAACCCTAATAGCTCTAGGATGCAAAAGCAAAACCCTAAATTCACAGGATGTAGGACGCCATTTGGCCGGCGGTAAATGAAAGCGGTTGGGGAATCGATCAGCAAAGGTGGAAAGACGTGGGGCGAAAGTGACCGGTTATTCCGCCGGAACTTCGATCTCTATAGGACAACCACGGGGACAACCATACGGAATACGCATTCATTCATTCATTCATTCATTCATACGTCTATTATAAGGACCGTAGCTTGCGCCATGGGCCCGAATGGTGTCAACACAAGATTCGATCGAGTTCGAACATCTAGTATGAGATACTGCTACTCTCTCTAACCTAGCTAAAGCAAACGTTGAACACTGTAACTCCGAAAACTTGAAATCCACTGAGCGAAGGAGAAATGTCTATTCTAGCTGTACCCTCGGATACCGTAGCCGGTGACCCTGCTGAATTCTGCATGAAATCTTCCAGGTAGATGAAGGGCGGCGCCATCTCGCCATGTGTGACATGATAGGGCGGTCACATCTAAGATTTTCGAGGTTCGGTAGTCTCGAACTTTGAAAAGTTCGGGACTTTTTTCCCCCGACGGTGAAAAAAACAGCTTCGGGACTACCGAAAAACATCGCGGACATTTTCTACGGTGGTCCCGAACATACTTCGGGACTCCCGAACTTTTCCGGAGCCGTACTAAAAGTTTCGACGGTAGACAGCCTCCGCGGGCAAACTGTAGTGGATCCGCGGGTTTCAAGGGGGACCTCTTGTACTTCCCCCTTGCCAGGTTCCGGTAGTCCCGAAGCACCAGCTTATATGATGTGACCGAAAGGCGTTATACGGTACCGAACTTTTCTTTTTCGGGAGCCCCGAACTTTTTCAAAGTCGTAGATGTGACCGCCCAGATGTGACCGCCCAGACACAATTGCCACTCTCTGTGTCTCCCCTGTGTCTCTGCATTGCTCTTCAGACGAAGAGAAGACCCTTTAATAGTATGCAGGGCTGATCGACTCGGGCTGAGCATACCGTATCTACTACAGTAAGACTGTCACTATAAGTAATGCGGGGACATTGTGCACCAGACTCCTGGCATCATTAGCAACCCAGCACACGAGGTGAACGAGGAAGCAATGGAGTTTTAGCTGTTCTAGAGTCGGCAAGTGAAGGTATGTCAGATTGTGATGAAGCAGGTGGCAGGTTCAGCCACTTGAAAGTCATGCTGTGAGAGGCTCCTGTCATGTGAGGACTCGACGCCAGTGGCATTGAGCGCACAGGCTCCGAACCCGTTGCCTCATATAAGGTCTTGTGCCGTTGATTGAGCCATGCATGCATAGCTCAATGTGTTCAAGCCCATGGCATGAATCATCAAAGGAAATGACCACATTACTTTGCCATGCGATATATTTGACAAGCAAGCTCTGTAAAGCAATAATTAAACCAACAATGCAGCAGATGGCTTCCAACATGGCAGCAAATGCTTCAATTCGTTGCTATTGGCAAGCCTAGGTCAAATCCAACACGTTCGATCGATCCAATTTCATTCAGTCTGTACCTACTCAGCAGAACCACTTATTAGTCGCTGCGTATGCTTGACTGAGAGCTTTCAGAGCCCTTCTCGAGCATACGGAAAGGTCCTCCTTTCTGAATGTCCTGCAGCTAAGAATCAAGATTAGGCGTATGTACAAACTCTTCGCGAGCTCCCAAAAGCTCGACATGCAACTGGCGAGGGTAGTGGTTCTTTGTAGCCCCCTCTTTTATCTACCCCTAAAGCCCGCCTACCAGTCTGAATCCAACATGTGATAGAAGTTGCTGTCACTTGGATCTGGGCAAGCTGATCGGACCCGTAAGAATCAATTTATTGGTTCAGACCTGACGGCGTCCGCCTGCAAGGCGTAGAGAGGCCTTTTTGTGCTCGTGCTAGTGCTTTACAGGTGCGAAAGGTCCCTTCTGAGACCCTCTACCGACCGCACCCACTCCCCCGTCACCTTGCCGTCCCCGCTTTGCCGTTTGAAACCCGGATCACGAGAAGCGACTCCACCACACAACGGCTGCAGGTAAGCGATGACGTCAGCAATCAAGGCGCGGTCCAGAAGCAGTGCTGTCAATGAAGCACAAAGAAGGACATGCCCTGACTAAGTACAACCGGCCCCTTTCGCATACAGCCCAACATCTGAAACCATCAAGGAGCGGGCTCGATGGCAGTCCCTAGATGCGCACGCATGGCAGCGATTTGGACTTCAAAGATAAAGGAAGCCTCCTAGCCACAAGGCTAATCAAGCGAGTGGGAAAGGGATGCGTCGCACCAGATGGGGCACTTGTTGGTCTGGTACCGCAGCGCCTTGGCGCAGTCGGCGCACATGCACAGGTGCCGGCACGGCAGCGCCAGCGTGTCCCGGATCTCTGTTAGGCAGATGACGCACTCCTGGGGGGCAAAGGAAACCAATGGTCTTTCGTTTCCATCTGCAAATTGTCGGTGTAGTGAAGACTTTACCCCGAGCCAGTGCGGTTCACCCGGACTCCGTCATACAGCAGGAAAGAACAGAGCTGAAGCAATTTCGACTGAGGCCAGAGCTTCTTGTGGGTCTCGACAAGGCGATCCAAGGTTCTTCGCAATCAACTACAGGAAGGCTATCGCAAACGGTCCCAAAAGCAGGAGCGTCTCCGAGCCTCAGCGAGTAATGGGGCCCCTGCACCCAAAACGGCCTCAGCAGCAAATGGCTGTTCGCGCACAAACTAGACGGGACGCGCACCTTGTTGCCCGCATCGTCAGCGCCCGCGAGGCTGCTCTCGGGGTTCCGGTCGATCCCGAAAATCTCGTGCAGAACGTACGACGTCCCGTGCGCCCACAGGACCTGCTTCGCCACCTGCGCCTCGAAGCTGCCGTCCGCCTGCGGACGAGCGAGAGCGAACTCGGATGTTTGGAAGCCAGATGGTGAGCTAGTTTTGGCGGCCGTCAGAAGCTGAAGGATGCTTTCGAACACCAAGCGGAAGATCAGTCAGTGTTTTCCGGCGTGAGAAAGGAGTGAATGCATCAACCCAGCCGAGTCAGTGATGTTCAGAAATCGAAAGACGCAAAAGCTTGGGTAAAGTTTGATGGGGCGACATCATGCAAAGAGCGGGGTGTCAATACTCGAGTGACGCTTCCGCTTTTGCATAGCCTATCGAAATATGCCTCAAATTCTGCAGATCTATATGAGGAGTCAGCTGCAAGATGCAGTCGGAGCCCAAACGCTCAGATGCACAAACTGAAAGATCTTTTGGGAATGCGCCAAGATAAGCGGGGGCGCACAATCATGCCCAGCCAACAGGAGAACAGCAGGCATATGGAGGAGACCCTGGATCAGTTTTGAGGCCCACCTGCTTCACTAGCGTGGCAAATGTCGTTTGCACTTGCGCAGCAACCTTCTTCTCCTGCTGGCCCTGTTCTTGCCCCTGCATGCGCCACAGGTTGTTCATCAAGAAGTTCCCCAAACCGATGAAGCCAGGACGAATCTTTAAAGCTTCCCTAAGCAGTAGACTCGCATCTCTGGAACGCTGGGGTTCTGAGTTGCTGCCAATGACCCGCATGACAGTAGATAATATGAACATGCTACTCAGAGACGAGAATACATACCTGCTGGGGCTCGACATTCTCTTTTCCCCCTCGTGCAACGACCTGCAACAAAAAGTTCATTGGATTTTCTCAGATAAAAAACCATCAGGGTACAGGTAAAAGCTTCTATAAAGCCTCCAAATCAGATGCATCCCCTGCCGTCAACTGGAATGCAGCCATGAAACAAGGATCTGGAAATGACGACTGCAAAACATGTGCCATACTGCCTCGCAATCAGATTACTGGCAGGAATACGGTACTTGGTCGTTTGCGGTTGGCAGTCAAAGAAGTGAGCCCGTACCTGTTCGCCTACAGTCTCTACCCTGATGACCAAAGGGTAGATCGTTTTCCCGGACTTGGAAAGCAGCGGCTCCCCCTACAAAAAAGCAGTAGGGGAGCATCAGTGCAGAGTTCAGAGCGGACTTAACAGGGCTATCATCATCCAGTCCATACCTCAGCAACAGGAGCGTCAAGGATCATCACATGTACATTCTTTGTTATCTTCAAACTGCCACCAAGGCCCTCGAGGCCTCTCAGACTGATCCGAGAAACTTCGGTAAATCGAAAGTTGATTGACGCTCCTGTCTAACGCTCCTGTCCAAACCTCCTGGTTATATGAAACAGAGCACCTAACCCAGAGGCTTGACAATGATCCTAGTGCACGCACCTCAGGGATGGGTATCGTCAGGCCCGTCCCAGGGGGGTGCTCGAACTGGTGAGCGAGGCCCCTGCCAAAGTTGGCCACGACTACGCCAGACTTCGTGTGCTTCGACTTGATTCTGCAAAAGGAAATGACCGCGTTAAATGCTGACAAATTGCAAGCACATGGCGTTGCCCGAGGTGCGGATCAAAGTGCCCAAGAGGCTCAATTGAACATAGAGAAAGTTTCCATCCTCATTACCAGGTGAAAGGAAGAGGAGTCCAAAAAGCTATCAAAAGGCAAAGATGCCACACTCTGGATCAACACAACAAATGGACGACTGCTTCAATGCTACTAGCGACACTTCATGTATACTGAGCATCAAAAGGAGGCCCCCAAAGCATCTCAACATTGTTGGTCACACACTACAAAGAGAGCTTTTCTTAACAGTGGCCCTTCCAAAGCAGGGGAGTAAGCAGCAAGAAGGTTGCAACCGCAGGGAATCCGCACCTGGTTGGAACCGTGCCCGGAGCTGCCCCCGCTTTCGCCGATTTCTCATAGCCTAGGACATACGCAGTGACCCTGCAACCATAACGCAACGAGCATTGTAATCACTTTCCTCTGTTTGCTCCTGCTTCCAGCCCTCTGCAACTTTGGCATGAATGCTGGAATCAAACAATGGACACGCATGCATCTTGCTGCTGAAGGCCATTTGACTGTCCTCAACCTCTTGAGATCTGGCAATTTACGGGCGGGCAGACTCACTTGCACGCTTCCAGCGCGTCTAATTCAAACGCTAGCTGGAACTTTGGGGCTTGGCCAGGCAGCAGCGTGCGAGTTTTGTCCAGTTTGAGCCTCAGGGACTGCTTCTTTAGGTTGACGCTCGACTTGATGGTGCGCGTAGGGCGTAGCTTGGGCAGCTGAAATACATGACTCAGCATTTCAGACAAAGAATGCGGTCTGCTGATCCTCTAAAACTTGGTCTGCCAATGAGGGGGTATCCTATACTGCGCACTCAATAGAAGCCTTGAAATTGCATAGCTCTCGGACAGCCCGCACAACGATTTCGTGGCAGCCTGAAGTATCCAGACTCAACTTTCACAAGATAGCTGCTCCTTAGAACCATGCTCTCCAGTATGCTGAAACAGTTGAGATGCTTGTATTATGCAGAACCTGACCTTTTCACTTTCTCAAGTATGACTGAAGTAACTTACGGGGGATGGCTCAGGCAGGTTGACACGTACATCCAGGGGCGTGACCTGGCTGCTGGCTTCAATGAGCCCCAACTCTGGGTCCACGTTTGTGCGCACGGCGGCGGGGAACCGGTGGTGCCGGCTGACGGCCGCCCCCATATTCCAAGGCACAGGAGAAGAGCCCGACTCAAAGACAAACCCCCGGCCCTTCAACTTTTTAGAAGGGTCCGTTTGCTTTAAGGGTGCTCAAATCATGGGTGCTGAGCCTCACCAATCTTGTGGAGGAGCTCCAGTGCCATGCTTTGAACGGGTTCTGACGTAGCGCAGTTTCCTAAGCAGGGAGCTGCTCAGCTGCCCCTCAAGCCCTCAAGCTCTCTCTCTCTCTCTGCGCCTCCTCTCCACCGCTCCAGAACAGCATGCAGAGCCCTGATCATTAGTGAAGCTACACTAGTAGTGGGCCAGCCTGCACAGTGCAAAGCTCTCAAGACAGCTCGATCCAGGTGGACCAAAAGTTTGGAGACTTTTGCAGCCGTCCAGGGCTTGACCTTGTCTCATCCAACGACTGACATTAGCTCTGTAGACCACGTGGGAGGGGATGGACCTCAGCCTCAGGCTTCCCCCACTGCCAGCTTCCCCGATGCCCTTCTTGCACATGACTCATGACAATGTCAATGAGCTCGTCCGAGAAGTTTTCGTGCAACTTTCTGCTTGGCGCGCAGCAGGAAGCAGGAGCAATGGCGCATGAGGATCCCGCCAACGCCCTGCCAGGCTTGCTGAACGCTGCCTACGATTCCGAGGAAGACGAAGACTATGAGGTTGAGGATTACGAGGATTTCGCGGCGATGCTTGGTGTCAACGAGCTGCATTCCGATGACGACCTCTCCTTTTTGAGTGACGAGGATTTGGTGACCGACTCCGAGGATGACTCGTTGGTCGTGGTGGACTCTTTTGATTCTGACTCGGAGATAGGGCAGCCTGCTGGAGGGCTGAATTTGCTGCTGGCGGAGGCGGGGGACGTAGAACACCATGGGGTCCACACCTCCGTTCCACACCACCAGTAAGGCAATCGGCTTCTCAGCAGCATTTTCACCCGTGTTTTGTACCCATCTGATTAAGCTTGGAAACCCGCCAAGATACCTCCATCCATACCTCATGTTGCTTTAGTATGAAATTTCCTTTTGGAAGCTCAAACTTGGCCTTCGCTTGGAATCCTTGCTCATTTACAGTTAGTGCTCTGTATGTGTGGGTCTTGGCATTATAGAATTTATTAGCCCCTCTCATACGAGTGGAACTTTGCCCTAGTGGCTGCAGTAAGGATGCAATTGTCTTGAGAAGGCCACTTTCAAGGGAAAACAATGCTGCCAAATTTAGTGCCGGAAAGTTCGTCAAATGCTAGCAAAACCTTTGCAATCGCACAGCAGTGAACATCTGTGTTGGTTGGATTCAGAGGTTCTTGGTTCCCTCCTCAAGCCAGCAGCCTGTTGACGTGACAAGGTTCTAACCGTCGAGGTCTCCCGCATCTTTCCGCAGTGGTTTTCATCCTGGCACTTCCTGAATCAACAATGTTGTGTCAGGTGCCTGCCATCAAACCTTCCAGGCAGATATCTAAATTGAGTTCTTGAAACCACCCTCAAGAACAGGAGACCCTTCAAAGGACCACTATGGTGGTTTAGCATGCAGACGTCTGTTGTCAAGGCATCTTCGTTGCTAATTTCTGATCGTTACGCGCTCGCATGCCCATTCATCGACTCCACTTAATGGTCTCTTTCACACTTGTAAGTGTAAAACAGAGTCGGTCCAGTCCCTTTCAGAATGATTGGTGTTCGATGGGCCATCTCATCTGTTTCTCATGTTTGCACCAGTTTACCAGCTCTGCTTCATCCTTGTACAGGTGCTGCGACGCTCTGAGCCTGGCGGACATAGACAGCGACAGCCTTCTCTTCACAGGCAAGTGTCGCTTTCATGCATTCCTCTGTGCAATACCTGTCACTATACGATGCACGCATTGGTCATTTTGTGACGATCATGTCAGGCCTCTCTTGATTTGTAGCAGGTTACGCTGTTGAGGAACACGCGCAAAGGCGCATCTAAGCTTGGAGGCGCTCAAACTGGTTGCTTCAGGATTAGAAGTTTCAAAAGTCTGTCACAGGGGCTGCTTTAAGGCATCAGATAAGCCGCCCTGTATTGAGAACCACTCAGGCGCTCAATTTTCTTCAATCTTGTGGTCCCTTGTGCAGAGGGGAAGTTTGCCGTTCTTTATGACCTGGCGGAGCGAGTACTGGTCACTGCAGTGGACTTAGGCTTCAAGCCGTATAGGTAAGAAGAGATAGATGTGATTAAGTAAAGGCTGATTTATCGGGTTGTTCGAAGTTGGAGTGTTCGAAAGATCACGGGCGATGAACACCGGCGATGTTCAAGAAATATAAATCTATCTCTTCTTCTATTGAGGTGAGTCTATCTTGTATGTTGCGTCGAACTGGTTGCCTGATCTTAATGGAGGTGTGTTCCGATCAAATCCGAGCTTATTCTGCTTTTCGTTGCAAGTGATGCCTCCACCATTCGAAGTAATGCTTAACTTTGAGGTAACGTCAATCATCCATATTTTTCTCATTCTCCGCAGCATCGCTCGCCACGAAGACCTTTTTGGAGCCGTGGGCACCCGGGAGCTCAAGATTTTCCGACTGCGTCCAGACGCCAAAAAGGGTGAGCCCCGTGCAGCCGACAAATCTGCTCTATGCCCATAGGTTCCGTTGATGTCCAGACAGTATGTTGTTTCGACTGTATCGACCCCTCCCTTCTCCGGAAGAAGGTTCTGGTCAAGCAGAAGATTTATCAAGCCACACGACAAGCTACGGAAACAAGGGTTTGGTCTGGAGCCCGATTGTGCATTTCTTGGGGGTGTGAATAAGCCCGACGCCTGTGGCAGCCTCTTTGAAACGTGCATGCTTTCAGGGGCTCACTTCTGGGGTTTTCACGAAGGGCTCGTTCTGTCTTGGCTACGCAGGCACAGGGGTCAACTTCCAGCAGGTCGCCGAGTTTCGAGTGGGATCTTGCCAGATGAACAACGGCGTCAGGTTCGGGCGCTGCGGAAACGAGGTGCGTCGGACACGTGCTCTGTAGCTTCGTCCGTCTGCTTTATCAAGCCAACGAGTCAGTCGAATAATTTCGGTGGTCCATTCTGCTGACAGCAGAATCGTCACTTGCTTATTGGAAGGCTCTCCCCTGGAATCGTCGAATTCGGCCAACACCATCTCACGAACCGAATAGCCCGAACGGAGGTGCAGTACATGGAAATGGAAGTACGAAGCACGCACAAACCCTCTTTCCACCACCAGCAGAGTTCTACGTATCGTCGCACCGGATGAAGGTCAGTCCCTGACAATCGTCCACACACACCGAACACTTCGACAGAGGTATGCTTGAACACAAATCCCAGCGCGCGCCTGCCCTACAGATGAAGCTGCTCGTCGCGAGTCAGGACTGCTTCGTGTACGTGTTCAACGTGCCCCGGGCTGGAGCCGCCCGGGCAAACCGACCGGGGGAAGCGGGACCGTCTTCCTCCAGTACTGCGGGCTCCGCAGCAATCGATATGAGAGCCTTTCTGAGTGGCAGCTTGAAAAAGCACTACTCCCCTGCGTACGACCGGCAACCGGGTGCCTATCGCCGGTGAGAGAACGCTCAGCGGGTGACGATGGTCGTCATTTCTGTGTACGGGCGTTTCAAGCACTCGTGGGTTTGGTGATAGAATCAGGCCCTTTGATCACTTTTCATAGTTGTGAAAATCATAGGGGCTAAAGCTCGAATACTGAAGCAAGCGTTGCATCATCGCTCGCCCTTTGCGCTTCAGAATCGAATTGACCTGGAAAAGACAGACGACAACAGCGACCAAAGCGGTAAGATGTTCGATGAAAAGTCAGAAAATAGGAAACGGGAAAGGAGCCCTTGGTCGTGTTTCCAGGGAACCACCTTGCTTGCGTGGTCCGGACGGCGCGGAGCTGTGGACGGACGTCATCGGACGCTTCAGGGCGCCGCTCAACTGCGTGGCCGCCTCGCCGGACGGGAAGCTCCTGGCCGTCGTGGGCGACAGTGCGGGCGTAAGGACCCTCTTTCTGGTCGCCGAGAAGCATTCATTGACGCAGACTTGATAGGGTGATGCTAGGTGAAATGGCATCCTTTCGTTGCCAATGCGGTCCAAGCGGGCAAAAAGGAGCTAGGGCTGAGTCACCACTGGGAGCCTTGCCTTGCGAATCGCCACTTTTTCTGCTCAACTTTCTTCATTGAGATGCTTCGAAGACGTGACAAGCACGTCCGATAGACCGTGCAGGCACGCTCGGCCCTCGTCGTTGCAAGGACGGTTATGTTTCTTGCTCGCCTTGCCGTGCGCTCTCTGGCGCAGCACCGCGTATCGTTTCTTAGGCGTCTTTGAGGCGCTCTTTCTGAGTTCTTTCGGCAGTACAGCAACCCGAACTTTCTGTTTGGAGACAGGCTCGTCGAGCGGACGGGCAAAACGCTTCGCAGCAGAGAGCGGATTGACCGCCCCTGCCTTTGATTCGCACGATCTCAAGAGAAGTGGTCACGCATCGATGTTGAACCGGACCGTTTTGTGACTGCAGGTGTGGGTGCTCGACCAGGCGAACAACTACTCCACGGCCAACATGGCCTCGCTCAGCATCCACGAAAGGTCGCACCGCATGTCCGTCAGAGGCTACAGAGGCTGCCAGGTGCGGTGGCCAGCCCCTCATTCCATAGCTCTTTGCGTCGTCTTGGGAATCGGGTTCCAGATTCTCCGATATGGTTTTTGATTTTGAGCCAACCGTCCGATGCCTCCCCTTGTCGTCCATTCGACGGTTCCAGATCAGGGGCCTTGCTCGCAGCCTTTGGAACCCAATAGTAGGTTTGACAAAAGAGCTGCAAGTCAAACCTTAGGTCTTTCGAATGTTGACCGAGAACGCCGACGATTGGACCATCTTGAAAACTAGGAACGCATTCTGACGAGAAGTATTGCGAAGTTGCACGAGCGCCGTTCTCGAGCCACGAGTTGCTCGTATCAAAGTGAGTCATCACATGTGACGAAATTGTGCGTTTGCTGCGCTGCACGTGCGCATCTTCGTCCGGAGTCACGATGCTTGGCGCAAGTTTGCGTGGCATCGAAGCGCACAACGAGCCTCTGCTTTCCCTCTACTCTTTCTCAAAGTGGACAAGAGGAACTTGAGCACCCGAAATCGGAAACCCAAGGTATTTCGCCTTCGGAAGTTCCGCCCAGTGATACCGTGACACGTGTCCTCGCAGTACGTCGCCTGGAACAGCCGCTCGGACCTGCTGGCCGCCAGCAGCGACACCGACCACGTGGTGCGCGTGTGGCGCGTTAAGGCGCCCACCGGGCGCAAGCGGGCCGCCACGCGGAACAGCCCCTGTGACGTGGCGGTCGCGGAGGTGGTCGGGACGTACACGCACAACCACCCCTGCTTAGCGCTGCAGGTGAGAATGAGTTGAACGACTGCTCTTGGGGTTGATACACATGGTCTTTCTTATGGAGATCTCTCCAAGTCACAAGGCTTTGCATGAGGGTTGGAGAATGTAAAAACAGAGTGGAAAGTTGGACCTCCGTTTTGACAGGTCCCATTTCGTAGAGGAATGGGTGCGGAGCAAAAGTCATCAAAGGAATGGAGGGTCGTCAACATATAACTGCTGCGATCGCGTGAACGTTCGAGCAGCGTCCACACCGTCCGCTCGACTCGTAGCGCCAGTTCAACTATCGCTACCCTCCTGACCCAATCGTTGACAACTGCAGCCTCACGTCTCTACTAGGTAACTGCTTACGAGACTCTTGAATTTACTCTCTTCACCAATAGCCTGAAAGCGCGACTCCCACACCGACACGTGCTGCGAGCAACACGTTGTGCGGCTGACCCTTCCGTTCGACTCCTCACAGTTCTCCCCCATAGACCCCAATCTCCTCTTTTACACCGAGTCCCCCACCTCTGCGCCCGCCCACCCCCCCCGCCTGCACGCGGTCGACCTGCGCCGGCCCGTCAACGCAACCCAAGCCGTGCGCGTCACGGACTACGAGTCCACGTGTCCTGCCGCCCAGTTCCGGGGGGGGGGCTGCGGCGAGGGCCACACCGCGGTGCTCCAGTGCATCAAGGCAGACTGCCCCGGTTACCGGAAGTGGCAGAAGCCGGGGGCCGGGACACCTGCGAACGCGCCCCCCCAGCAGATGTTCGTGCTGAACCCGGTCAGGATGATGTTTGGGCCGGCGCGGCAGCTGCAGGTATGATGTCTCACCACTATCGTCAGTTAGGCCTCCTCTCTGGCAGCAGTGAAATTAGAAACGCTTGGGCTGCATCAGTTCGAGACAGTTCCCCGGGCTCAGTCGAATCAAAACCCCCGGTTCAGAGCTAAGATGGTCCACCGTAAACCCACAATGCAACCCCACCCGGCCCCCGGGCAGAATCTGACTCAACATTGCAATAAACAAGAGCCTGATACTAGTGGTGCAGGTGACCGGGTTGGCGGTGTCGCGGCGGCACGGCGTGCTGCTCGGGGTGGCCGGGGGGGGCGAGCACGGGACGCGCAACCAGGTGCTGCAGTTCCGGCCGCTGGAGTGGAGCTACGAGCGGCACCGGTTGTTTCCCCCGGGGTTCAAGGTGAGTAAGAACGTTTGCGGATGGCCGGTTGAGAGGATGGAAGCTTTTGGTTTTCGTGTGTCTTGCCTGATGGAAGCTTTTGGTTTTCGTGTGTCTTGCCTGAGGGTCCCACGTGAGAGTGCGAGAGTGAGATTGGCCGGATGAGGAGGATGGAAGATCCTGATTGTTGTGCATCTGGTCTGGATGTCTGCTGGACCGCTCGCTGTTCTTGGGCTGCACTGCGTTTGTTGTCGCGGCATGCAATGAGTGGTCGAAAGGATCCTTAGCGCACCACAAAGTTCTCATGGATGTTTTATCGATAGAGCCATTGTTGCGGAGCCCAGGAGGTCAAATCGTATGCATTTTAGCCACCTGAATGTGACAAAGTCTCGGTTCCGCCCTCCAAAGCTTTGGTAGTAAACCGGTGCAAGCGCTCCGTGCAGGATGCAACGCGTTTCCTCCTTTTGGCTGCGAGCACGTTATCAGAAGCGGGTTCCGCATCGGAGGGAAGTCCATCGGGGTCGTCTTTCAGGTAAGGAATGCAGCCGACAACGTGCTCATGCGCAAGCTTTGGACGAGTGGTAGGACACAGGATCTTTTATGCGCCTTTGACATCGTTGCCAGTCATTGCAAACCCCCACAAATTCCGCACCATTTGGGACGCCGGCAGATCCGGAGTGCTCAGCGCAGCGCGCAGAAGGCCGGGCGATGGTCTCCGTTTGCTGACATGAGTGCTGCGATCTGGAAGATGATATTGCTCTCTGCTGAAAGTCGAGCCAGCCTGCAGGTCACTTCCAGAGGACGTCGTGTACAGTATCATCGAGAAAGCGGCCATGCCGCAGAGTGCGTGGGTGGAACAAAGCACACCAGAAGGGCCGCTCTCATTGGACTAAGACAAACAGTCACAAACAAACTGCCTGTACATATGTGAATACTTCAAGCTGCTTGTGGTGCTTGCAGATAGGATGTCAATCTGCTTAATACTTGCAGCCGTTTGTGACAGGCCAGCTCAATGGACGCCCGCACATGATTAAGTGTTGGTAGTCATCAGGACTTGATCTAGACCGGTTAAGCCACCCTGGCACATCGTTTACTGATATGATGCGCTTGCAAACGTGCATGAGTGCGACAGTGTAACTTTTCGTACATGGTTGTTGCACGGCGCTGACTTCAGGCGCTGGTTTACTTTTCCGAATCAAAGCGACCGATTGCGAAGTGCTTATTCGGTACTGAGAACCTACTTGATTGAACAAAGTATATATTCCACAAGCTACCTACGGTGGGTTCCGGCCGAGTCGACTCCGACTCGAACCGCAACGAAATTGTGGGACCCGGTATCAAATTCTGTCAGTGATACCGGCGGTTCACGTTACGCTGAGTCGGACTTCCGAAACATGTACGGTTCGAGTACTCAGGAATTTTTGCTCGGCCGTAAGTGAGTGTCATGAAGTTGTAAACAAGTGTATTATTTTACACTTTGACGGGAGCATGAAAATGCCACACTAAGATGCGGCTTATGCAACATGCAGAAACCTTTGACAAGCTAAAAAAAATGTTGGGGGACCGTCATTAGCTGTCCTTTGAAGCTCCAACATCATGTTTTGTTCAGGACAAATCTCAAATAGCAGCATAGGAGGCGCAAAGTTGGCCGCCATTGTTGGATTTTGAAGAGCGCCTTCTCTTACACTCCTATATCAAATCTCTGCACTCTTCTTTCAGTCTGGGTACCGCGGTACTCGTGCACGGTACAAGTCGGAAGTTCCGACCAAGACCATGAAATTTAAATTTGTCGGCCGCGCAGACTCGAGTCTCGCGCGACGGTACCGTACCTCCGGGTAGTACGTAATTGCCCGTTTGATCGACGTGTCAGGAAAAGCTCGATTCATGAATTCGGACCCGATTCTCTAGTACGGCCGAGTACGATCGTTAGTACTGCGTACAAAATGTGTCGCGACGCGTGACACCGGTCATACAAATTTGAGACCCGACCGTCGCGCGGTCGATACCGTCGAGACCCACCATAGGTAGCTTGTGTCATACATACACGTTGCCTTTCAAGAGATCTGATTGCATGACCGTGTGTGCCCATGCCATGGGCATTTTCAAAAGCCGGCATTCAATGATTGCGCATGCAATGTTGAACCCCCGTGAACCATATAAGTAGCGATCCTCTATAGCATGGTAAAATCGTTGTCAGCATGCTGCCAGGGCGCGCATACTGTGACGAAATTTACACCCTTTGCTCGAGGATTCTTGTCATACACTTCATCTATATAAAGAATCACCATTATGATAGAAATATTCCGGATCACATTGTAAACATTCAATCACCTACACATGAAGCTGGCGTCGTCGCTGTCACCGTCCGGATGCACATAGAAAAGTTGAGGTGCTGATGAGTCAGTCTCGTTTTTAAAGATGAGCGCCTGTGAAAAGAATGTCTCCGCTTCTCCAACTCGCGAAGTGTCCGATTTCTCCTCTTTCTTGTCCATTTCATAGCAATTCTCAGTCGATCGCTAAGAGGCCTAGCTCATATTGGACTCGAGATTCTCTGAGGTGCGGCAAACCGTTTCAGATGAACCGGATCAACACGAAGCAGCCCACATCTCGGGGCCGTCGATAAGCATTTGAGTCTTATTATCAACGGTCAGGATATGTTCATTCTTTCTAACATCATTGACAAAACCCTGCGGCCGCGTCCGGCAGTTGCCGGCCGCGACTCCGGCAGCATATGCTGCAAAAGCGGGGAATCTCATCCGGCCGGGTGGCGCGTTGCGTCACAATACACATATGCTACTCAGTGCACACATGCTTTTAAGTGCGCAGGCTGCCATATGAAGGCTGGCGGATTCACCAGCTATAGCTGCTGCCAGTGCCAGCGGCACCCATGATCAATATTCCGTATAAGGGGCAAACGCGATTATGAACATAGTCACGCATCTTGCTGGCATGCAAGAACGCCGCCTGTTCCAAACTTTATGCGCACAGGGCGTGCGTTCCATAGGGCATGCACGGATTGATGCTCCTCTCTATATCCCTATTGATCGTAGCAGATCAGGTCAGAAGTCGCAAGTCTCATGAAAATTGCATATAGATGGTCGGTAAATTTGATTAATACTAAGTGCGCATGCTTAAGCATATCAATCTTTCCTATGCAACCGGTTGCATATTCGTACCTGGAATCCTCAGCATTTCGTTCTGTAATGATCTAGGCTCACGTACATATTGGCATTGGCTCTTTGGACGAGCTGCGCCTGTCCTTGCGGGAATAGTCACCAGGCCGCCAACTCGGTGGCGTCTCGATCTTCAAAATTTGAAGGCATCTCCCTGACCATGTTCCTCCCAATCTGTCATCTTGACTTTGATTTTACCGTCGTTTCAAGCGCAGGTCACATACCTCGCCGCCGCTTACCCGCTACCAAAACCGAGTTCAGACTTTGCAGCTCCCGACTCTTCACGTTTCCCTTGATCTCCTCCCAGAATGCCGCCTGCTCCCCGGCAGACTGCTCCTCCGCTTCCACCGATACGCTTGGTTCATGGCCCTCCGGCACCCACTCTGCGCCACCCACCGTCTCCGCGAGCCCCCCTTGTGAAGGTCCCGGCGATTGCAGGGGCGTGGCGAAGCCCTTTCTACTTGGCACGCTGACGAGGCGCTTCTTTTGTGAGGCGGGCGAGAGCGGCGCAGTGGTGTCTAGGGTCGGAAAAGCTGCAAGTTCGGCGGCCGTCTGGGGCAAAGGACAAAAACATTTTGGTCAGACATAAAACTGGTGATAGTTCACGGTCTACCCAGAGAGGCTGACCACTGTGATGGTTCGCAAAGCAAAAGGTCGAGGGCAACCAACAAAACAGGAGACCCCCAATATGCAAACCAGCTGCTCGAGGTGTCAAAAAGTGAGAGAACACTCAACGACGGAGCTAGATTCCAATCTAGATCAAGAATCAGTTCACTCACCGGGCTGACTACCGGGGGCCGGTTGGCTTTCTTGCCAGCCTTCCGCTTGCCCTTTGCGTCCCCCAGGCTCCCCCCTCCGAACCGTTCCTCTGCTGCCAAGTGGTTCAGATGGGCGTCGCTGCCCGACTGCAACCCTAACCGGGCCTTGTTTTTGGGGGACATGGGCACCAGGGGCGGGGCGAGAGGGACGCCCACGCACGTACAGGGCCCCGCCAAGCGGAGCACGTTACCCGCCTGCTTCTTGCCGACAGTCCAGTCAATGGAAACAAGCTGCGGGCAGAGACCCTGCGGAACACACGCGAAAGGAGGTGATCTCGTTTAGACATCGGATGTTGGAGAATGAACGTGAAAGAACTGGATCTTTGTAAGGGTGGAGATTTTGAGGAAGGCAGTTGTACGGATGCCGGCTATCGAGAAGCGGGCAGATGCGAAGGGGGGAGGAAATGAAGAGGTGCAAACACCGGATCGGAGCACAGACGCAGATTTAAAAGGGTAGAGCAGAGGGTGCAGCGGAGTACAAGACAAATACTGTTTTACCATTCTAGTCATGATCGCGCTACGAGATCCCCTCATCCGTAAATAGAGGACGAGAATGGAGGCAGACAAGAGACATACCGAGTTCACTTCGATGCAATTTGCGATTCGCACCTAAGTACCTCAATCTATCAATCTACACGTTGCAGCTTTGCCATCAAGCCACGTGGCGAGCCGTCGGAGACCAACGCGGCCCCAGTCACCAAGAGCGTGGCGCAGTATTTTCAGGAGACGTACAATGTGACGCTGCAATATCCGCGGTTACAATGCGCGGTGGTTAGGAATAACGGCAGGCTGCCCTTGGAGGTGAGGTCAATTAAGCAGAGTAGGTTACGAGTTTTGCAACTCGAAATGAGGGCACTGCCCACCGTGAGTTAGGTTTGAGTTCTGGGTTTTTGATTGCTAGTTTGACGTGTCATTAGATCTGGGTTTTGTTGGGTTCTGCGAAACTATGATTTTGGCGTTTTAACGTTTTGGGTTTTAGGAACGACGCTCTGATCGCTTATATGGTCGTTAAAGGCTCCACGAGGTATTTCCCCGGAATCGCTTCGAGCGAGAGCACATTGATTATCTCAGAAGATACGGCACCGAAGGGGCTTCTCCTGCTGCTTGAGGCGTCCAGGCGCGGAGGGGATGCCAAAGAAGGAAAGCATTCAGCACTTTTCCAAGTTTCCCTTCCCATCTTTCCTCAATCATCCCCTGGGAGTCCTGCCCCAGCTCGACTAACAACTTCAAAAGACGTTGGCTTCTATCTGAACTAGAATCCGCTGTCACCACATAGGGCTCCACCGTCCTTTTTGCATTGAGCGCAAGCGCTCGTGCTGTGGGGTCTCACCAGGTGCGTCAAGTCGTGTTCCAGCACAGCCGCGAGGTGGTGCTGGTTGGGCTGTGCCGGGCCGCGCTTCATGGTGCTCCAGTACTTGCGGCCCTCGTGGTCGGTGACGAAAAATTTCTTGGCCATCCCCTTGGGCTCCTGCAAGACAGTCGGACATAGGGCTTGGTCCTTCACACAATGTCATTCCCACCCTAGAAATGGATGGTGTTTCAGTGGTGAAGAGCAAGGGAGGTAGCACCCCCAAGGCCACCGCAGCAAGACAACACTCCAGGTTGCGCAAAATCCGCACACGAACATGAACCTAGCCTTGACGTCTTTCGACACTGTTGAGCGAAGCCTGGTTACGTAAGCCGGAGCAGAGTCAAGCTGCCCCCGAAAATAAGAATCGAGCATAGCAATGCTTCCCTTGTCTGGACTCTTTGCCGATATCAAGGCGTCTCAAACAGAGTCTCGACCTTTGTAATCTGTATTACCTAACTCTCTGACGGGGGCGAACCTTTTAGATATCCGGCGGGTGGCAAGAAACCGCAATCCTCACCACGGGTGTGACTTTGGTCCGTGCTGATGTCGGCAACAGGAGCGCAAAGAGGTTTCTGGGGGTCTGCTGCACCCAGGCGCTCCTTAGCACCTCCACGCGGTGGATGATCTCGAGCGTCTGCAGAGGCAGAACAGTAGAGACGGTTGCATCCAAGGATGCTAAGGACTGGCACCGCGCCTAATCGCGGATCATATGAGCGATCATTCAGTAGGTAAAAACGTTACATCTAGTTTTCTCCAAGAAGCGGCTGAACCGCACGATTAATCGGTACCACCTGCAATTTTGCAAAGAAGCGGGCAAAGCGAACGAAAATGCAGGTGCTTTGCAGCTCCATATCCAAGCCTTGAGTCAATCTCAAATACGACAAAGTACGCACCCAAACCGAAACCGAACCCAAACATAATAACGCAAACACGGGTAACTCACGCAGGCCGTAGGCCCTCTGCAAACATAAAACGCTTTCCATACAAAGCAGGTCAAGCGAGCTCTTAAGCTTTGGCAAGGGCGCCAAAAGGCTCTTGCAGAAAAGCGTGTCAAATTGAAGCCATGACTGTGCGTCCGTACCTTGATCAGCGCTGTGGCCGACGACTGATACCGGTCCGTTTGGCGCGCCTTCACCAGCGCCCCATCGGGCAACGGGTGCGGAAAGTGCTCCCAATGCAAGTGCACCTTGAACCACGTTAGCACCTTCGAATCTGCCGCCAAGGCCGCGTTCACACCACCACCGCGCGCAGTCACACCGCCCCCACCAATTGGCAGGTCCACCTCCTCGCTGTGCCCCGCTCCCCCTTCCTCGCCCGTCCTCGACCTCTTCCCCGACCCCCCCAGGTTTGCAATACTGCCCGCGGAACGCTTCCGGCTGTGCCCAGGGGGTCCTTCCCCGCTGGATTTCTCCCACGTGCCCGACGCCGCCCAGAGATCCCCCTGCGCGGTGTGAATAGGCGACGGCCCATTCACCTCGTCCCCATCGTCGTCCTCCCCCCCCCCTTCCTCCTCCTTGAACAGACTCGAAAAGCTGGAGCTCTCGCTGCCGCTGGCCTTGGGCGACACCTCGGTGTGAACAGCCCCCGCAGGAGCCGGGGGCAGCCGCTGCTGCCCCAGCTCGGGCTTATTCACACCCTCGGCGCTGCCCTCCTCGCTCTTCACCTTGCTCGGCGCCGCCCCCTCTTCCTTCGTCTCCCCAGTCCGCTCGAGAACGTCGAGCTCCTTACCCCCAAAACGACTCAACGTGTTCGCGGACATTCTCCGCCCCAGAGCGCTGCGTTTCCCAACCGCGCGGGGGCTTGGCACCGGGTCCAACCGCGGCTCGTCCGCCTGACTGCCCCCGGGCTGCCCGCCGGACGTGGCGTCGTCCAAAACGGGGCCCCTCAAAGGGCTCCGTACCGGCCCCCCAATCTCAATCGACAGGCCGTTTCTGTGGGCTGCGATGTCCTGCGCCGCACCGGCCTTCTGCGTGCCTGGTTCTGAGGAAGAAGTCCGTATCGAAGGGGGTAACTCTAAGCTCGGGTTGCGAACGTGGGCGGGGGCCTCGGTGTTGAGGCCGGAGCGTGCGGGGGTGCTGGGGGCGGTGGGCATGTCACTGCTCTCGACTAAGGGCAGTGCGGCCGCCAGAGAAGCGGGACCGGAGGCTGGGGGTATTGCTGGAGGGGCTGGCCGGGGGGCACCGGGCTTTGGCGTAGCTGGCCGACCTGAGACGGAGCCGCAAGCGGGATGTGAGAAACTCATACAGAAATCCAGGATTAAGTAGCAGCTGGACGGCAGTGCAAAGGAGAGCGGGAGCCAGATCCGTCTGCTCAACCGGGAAATCCCACTCCCCTCCATCGACGATAGAGGATATATCTGGCGACCTAGAGCGAAGCTGGGCAGCTCATGTCAGATTCTAGTGGGAGCTGTACATCCTCTCGAGAAGAGCGCATGGGTGCAAACACAGAAGAAGGCAGACGAAAAGTGGACTGCATGACAGTTCTCTTCCGTTGAGTATCAGGAACCACCAAGCAACTCAAGCAGCGAAACGGCATGCAGACGCTGCCGCAGTGTGCTCACCCTTATCGGAGCTGCTTGGCCTTTTGCCGGCGGTCTGCTTCCGCTTTAGCTGGAGCAGAAGGTAGGAAGCAACTTGCAAGGGCTCAATCTGATCGGCGAGCTCCTGGAACTCGTCGAGGCACTGAAGCACCGCAGGCTCAGCGGTCCGCTGAAGCTGGTCCCAAACCCTGTGGCAACACGAGGGGCTGATCAGGACTAAGCACAGGTCGACGGGACAGGAGTTTTAAAATTGGATTGAACGACGTTTCAAACGAACCTGAATGCAGGGGTATTTAGAGAGAGCGAGACCGCAGAGCACGCTTTGTAGTCCTCTTGGCAGCAAACCTTCTGGGCTGCCGTCGACACAGTGCAGAAGGAACAAGTCGATTCAGTAATACATAGAGCAATCGCTTCGAAGCTCGCAGGAAAGCCACCAACAAAGAAACCCACACACCAGACCGGTCAGGCTTTACACCCATTACCGTTTAGATGCATGATAGCAACAGTAACAGTGATTTGGATTCGTTCAAGATTCGTTTGCTCCTAACCCCAGCCGGTCCGTCGAGCCTTACCGCTCGTCCAGCTGCTTCGGGTGCAGCTTTCTCGCCCGGAATAGCTCCTCCAGTTTGCTCGCAACCAGGGGCGCACTCTCCTTCAACCCCGGGGGAATGCCCCCCGACTTGTTCGCGCCAGGGAGCAGGCGCGCAGACGGAGACGGGGGCCGCCCCTTTGGACTCTGAAGCAGCTGAGCGGCCGGCGAAGACGGACGGCTCAACGAATCAGCCTTTCCAGGGGGTCCCTCTATACTCAGACCCTTACCAGGTTTCTTTCCCCCTGAAAGTCTTGCGGTCGCCGTGCCAGGCAACCGTTTGCCCCCTGTTCCTTTCTTGCTGGCTAGTGCAGCAGCACCCTCGGAGGGCGCGATTGTCTCGCCCCGCTGCTTGATGATCACTTTCTTGATTACCTTAGGAGCTGCGCTTGCGGATAAGGGAACAGCTCCTGCCGTCTTATCCCCAGGAGGTGCTGCAGCGGAACCCTTGACGTCAGGTTTGACCTCCTTGAACTTCGGCGCGACCCCTTTCTTCCCGAGGCCCTTATCCTTCTCCGCTAGTTTCTGTACGGCACCCTTGGCCGGACTGCCGACCTTGACTGACGCTGACACTGCAGGCTTCACCGCCTGCATCTCGGAAGCTTTATTGACAGGCGGCTTGACCGAGACCCCTTCCCCCGTTCCGTTCCTTGCTTCACCTTCCGGCTGCTCGAAACGAGCACCGTTTGCAACCTCTCTTTTCTGTACGACTAGGCTCTCCTCCGTGTGTGGGATTCTTTCCGGCTGGTTCTCGTCTGCCGGCTGGATCCGGTCCTTATGTACAGTCTCTTTATTCAGAGCATCTAGAACCGAAGACGCCAGAGAGCCTTCTTTGCTGACAACCTGCACCTCTTTCCGTTTGCTGACAACCGGCAGATCCTTCCGTAGATCCGACGCTGCACGCACCGTCTCCACAGTTGTTTCCCTTGCGATTCCAACACTTCCCCTAGCGATCTTCTCAAGGCTCGACCCAGCTTTCACATCTTCCAGACGACCCGATCGCCCTTCCCGAGAAACCCCCGACACACCCTGATCTTTCGGCGGACTGGTTTTGAGCCGCAAACTTCTTGGCTCTTGAGGCCCACCCTTTGGCATATCCCCAATAACCTTGCCTCGCAAACCGGAGACCTCCGCGTTAGACTTCCGGTTCAAAGCTCGGTTCAACTCCTCCTGGGATGCTTTTGCCACGTGCACCGGCCCCTTGCCCTCGCGCGTGCTCCCCCCTGCCGCGGGCCGACTCCAGGATCCTCTCTCATTTTGTATTCTCATGCCCGACGCCTCAGGAGCGCTGCTCGCCGGAAGCTCCTCTGCCGCAGCCGGTCCTTCAACGGGACTCTTTGCCAGCAGCCCCATGGGCCAGCTGCTCCCTTGCGCTGGCCGCTTGTCGCCCCCGTTGACGTTGAGCACCTCAAGCCCCGCACCGATCTTGGCCCCCTCGTTCGCAGTGTCAAAGCTCTGCATGGCCATCGCCAGCAGCCGGCTCCCCGGCGACGCCGGCCGCTCCAGGACCGCCTCCGGATTTTCAGGACCTTCTCCCGGGCCGAGTGCCGGGGGCTCGAGCTCCAATACGGACAAAGCGGCTTCTGCCGCCGGTGCCGTCTTCGCACTTGCAACCTCCCCTGCGCTCGCCACCTCCTCTGCAACCTCCCCGTCGATGACATTGGACCGGCCGCTGTCCGGCGAATGAAGGTGCTCAAGCGTAGGCGGCTTGACTGGCTCCGGGAGAACCTCCCGAACACGTTCGCTCTCCCCCCGACGATTCCTCCGGGACTCCCCGTCGGACGCTTCCGAGGCCGAGGAGCGGCGGGGGTCGTCGCGTTGCTTTTGGGAGGAGAGAAGTGGGGCCTTCCTAGCTCCGGGGGATCTAAGGCTTGGGCGCCGAGAGGGGGAGCGTCTCCGGGAAGGAGACAGGGAGCGCTTCTGAGACGGGGAGAAAGAGCGCCGACGGGATGGAGAGACCGAGCGCCTCCGAGACGGAGTCTGGCTCCGGGAACGCGAGCGATAGCGCGAATATGGACGCTTATGTCGCAATGCGCCAGGTGGCAGTTCTCCGGACCGCAGGTACTCCAGCTCCTGCACATCAAGTATCGGTCTTGCTTTAGGCTAACTTCGTGTATGCACTATCATCTAACTTTCGCTTTCTGAAACCTCTCCTGTTAACGACCGTTTCTAATTGAGCACAGAAATGCAACATGCGCATCGTACTTTCCTGCTGCTGCCCAGCGAAACCTTCTGCAACTTGCGCTGTGGCCAGGAATCGTTGCAGAATGCAGCCGCTGCCTAAGGAGGATATCCAACATACCTCTGCCCGTGTCCAATGATATCGTCGGCAGTCTTCCGCTCTGTCCGGGCAGTTGTTGTCGATGTATCTCAGGCATATGTCCTGGGCAGGGTTCTTTGGAGTTCTGCGCAAGCAAGGCCGGCTTCAGACATCAACTATAGCCGTGAAAATCCAATGCACGAACTATCTAATCAGAGATGCATCTCAGTGATAAGCAAAGGTTGCTATTCGACGGGCTCGCAGGAGCGAACGACCTAACATTCCAGGCTAACACATCGGAGAGTGGACCCTATCGTTTTCTGCACCTAGCCCTACCTGGCTGGGTGCTTGAACGGGCATCTCTCCTTCTTGCACCGCAGTCTCATCAGCATGTCAAAGCACACCGAGTCAGCCCTCCGCTCCCCATGCTTGGACCGGCCCCGGTCATGATCCCCTCCCCTCCTATCTCTGTCATCTCGCCGCCGCTCCCTGCTATCCCCATACCTCCGTCTATCATAGTCTCTATACCGGTCGGCCCCTCTTTCCCTTTGGTAATCTCTGTCCCTGTCTCGATCCCTGTACCGTTCTCGCTCCCGCTCCCTGCTGCGATCCCTCTCCCAGTCCGGCTCTTTGTCCCGACCCCTGGCAAGATCCGCCTCCTTCTGTCGGCGAAGATTCTCCTCCCTCCTCTTCGCCCTCTCCTGCTCAGTCTCCACGTCCAATCGGCTGCGCTCCCGCGCCAACGACTCACCCCGCCGGTCTGCTGTTTCCTTAGCAAAATCGCGACTGCTGCCGCGCCCCCGCATCTCATCTCCTCTGCGCGCACCTCCCACGTCCCAGGACCGTCCCGCTCTCTCACCTGACTTGCCCCTCTCAGTCCGCTCCCTCCACTCGTGACTCCGATCTCTGTCATGGGGCCCGAGCCCCCCCTTCGGCAGGTGCATCGTGTTTTCCGGCCTCTTTTCTTGCACTCTGTCGCTTTGCTCCGCTGTAGGGGAAGTTACAGCGTCTGCATCGTTTTCTGCCCCGTTTCCTGCTCTTCCATCCTCCGCTAACTCATGCAATGCGTTGCTGATTTCGCCACTCTCTTGTGCCGGGCTTGACAGTTCCAGCAAGGGCCGGGACGGCGACGGCTCTCTCTCGACCGCACCCATCTGCCCTCCCTCCCCTGGGGCCTCGCTTGCCTCCCAGTCAAATAGTGCGTCCGGCTGCAGACAGAAGCTTGTGTCTGAGAGACCACCTTGTAGGCAGCACCTCTTATCAGAACGGAACAACTGCTTCCGTTAACACCCCTGTTTGCACATGGAATTGTATGTTCCTTCCGCTTCCTCATTTCTGATAGTTGCTCGCCTCTCAGCAACAATCCTCTCACGAGGGTACAATTCCACAAGCTTGGCAAAGTAAACTTGATTTTGCTGGGGCCCAGTGCTCACCTGTACACCCAGCTCTTCCAGGAGGCTCTCTAGAAGCCTCAGCAGGTGTGCATAGTCGGGGTCCTCCTCATACTCCAACCCGCTCAAAGTTCTTGCAAAATCCTGCAGAAGGTTGGAGGCATCAGCGCACCACGAACGTAAGGGGTCATTTATTGTTCTGATTCGTGTGTCCCCAGCCAGATCTTGATGATGCAATCCTAGCTTCTCTTCTCCCACCCTTTGGCTTTTGGTTGGGGAAGTGTCTTACCTGCAGTTGCTTGGGTGTTTCCAGAAACCGAAGGAACTTCTCAGGGTTCTGGTTGTAGAACTCCTTCGACTCCAGTATCTTGTCCTGCATTGAAGGACTTCGGACCGTCATCAAAGCTAGCCAGATGCACTTAGGACTCTGAGCTGCCATTGGTTCATGTGATTGATAAGTTCATGCCAACCAGCACCAGCGCAACTTGTCCTTACAGGCAAAATGACAGTCGATGCCTATAAGACGATGACTTAGACTCACCTTGTTCGACTGCGACCTCCACGGCAGATCTCCCTCCAGAAACTCTACCAAAACATAGAGCAGGCTCCACAAATCGTCCCTCCGTCCGAGCTCCTGCAGCACGAACCATAGTGATTCAATGTCAGATTTGAGCAACTCGGTGCAGGTCGTTAGGCAACGGCAAAATGATGAACAACGAGATGAGAGGTGATCCTACAAACAAAAGAGTCTGCCAGACTTGAAGATGCTTTCGAACTCACCTTACTCTTGTGCGCATTGACAGATGCATAATGAGACGTTCCCCGGAACTCTGCAACTGGTCTTGCAGGGTTTACCCGGCCCTCTGAGTCCCGGTACTTCTTTGCCAACCCGAAATCAACCATAAAGCACTGCCGTGCCTTGGCGCCGAGCCCTATGCAAAAGTTGGACTGCATGACGAGGATGACAAGAATCTAAGAAGGATAGAAAGGTAGTCTACGGCGAATAAGCGGTAGTCTGAGAAGGTAGAAGAGAGACATCTAACAATGTCAAGCAGCCGATGCTATACTGAACATCATATTTACCAAACATGAATAGGAGGAAGTTCAGAGAGTGAAGCATCTGCAACACAAATTTAACTACTGAACCCCTCTTTTAAAAGACCAAAGGCATACCATACTCACTGGCTTGATGTCACGGTTGATGTAGCCAAGCTCATGTATTCCTTGAATCGCCTTCAACAGCTGCAGGAAGCAATTCGACAAACTAAGGCAGGAGAAGAGGCACAGCAAAAGCAGTAACATAGCGCGTCGGAGCCAACAAAACACAGTGGTCTGTCATCATGTATCAGAAAGCCGCTTCTAGGAGGACAGCGTCTGGTACCATTAGCAGCAGGGATGGTGGAAGCGATTGCCATCGTCTGTAGGTATCCGAGTTTAAGTAATGGCTTTATTACCTGGATCCCTATGGAGATGGTCGTCGCCATTGACAGCTTGCCTTCAGGCTGCCCTCTCCGCAGGTCCGACAAACTGCTCCCCAGCAGTTCCATGGCAAGATAGTTGCGTCCATTGTGCTCGCCGGCAATGATGTGACGGCACACATAGGGGCAATCTGAGGGGAAGGGAACAAACCCTCTCCTAGTGATAGATCTAAAAAGAGGCAGATGAGGCATGCGCCTACAATTTTTCGATGTCCTTGCATTTGAATTGGAATTGGAATTGCATCTGTACTGCTAATGAGAACGTGAAGCCACAAGCTCATGCAGTGATTCCTGGAGCTGTGCTCAAGGATATGAAGCGCAGGGCTCCTGAAAACATTGTGAACATCCCTATCTGCATCACAATTGACAAAGTAAAAACAGACTTTCACCAGGAGATAGAGAAGCACAACAACAAAATTGATCATTTCATTGAAATGGTAATCTACGAATGAAGCGTAGTCCTCCAGATGTATTGACTTGTGTCAAAGTCATCCACCACGAACTGGTTTTAACAAAAGGATCTGGGGCTGGAAAGCGGCGCTGTCTCACCCTGCAGACGCTTCTGCACACTGCTCTCCCACTTCAGGACGCGGTCCTCCTTCTCAACTTTGATCGCGACCAGCTCGCTCGTCTGTCGGTCAACGGCACGGTAAATTTCGCCTTTACGAGAAGTACGGGGTCAAGGATGGACACAGCAGGTCGAGGAGATTCTGGCTACAAAAAGTTGAAGCCAGACAAGACGCAGTACTTCCAGCTGAAAGGTATTTGAATATTGTGATGGTCAACACTTCATGCGGAGAGTAGACAAACCTCATTAAGAAAGAGTGAGGAAAGCAAGAGAACATCAACAGCAACAAAACAACTTCAGAAGCAGCGAATGGAATGCTGAAACTGATGGCGTTACAATGAGGATACTGAACGTTCCTTCCCCAATTTTCCTCTCCACTTCAAATCTGTCGTCCAACAGAGTCTCAGGTCTCATTAACGGTGCCGGCGCCATTGAATCCCCTGCCGTCACCGCAGCAAGCAGATTGCCCCTGCTTTCCTGCACTTACAGACTAGCATCTCTCTACGTGCACATTCCTACACCACGCTCAACGAGGGCGCTCCACCTGCTCCCCTGCAGCACGAATTCAGAGCGAACACCTCTCCGCTCCTTCCTGCCACCCAAGTCTGAAGACTTCTAGACCCAGGCTGCCGGGGAGTCACTTTTGAACAGCGTGCATACCGTATGACCCCATGGCGGAAGCGGACGATACCGGTACCGTATGTCGAAAGTCTGATAGGTCAAACCGCATCAGAACCACATATAAAGCACGCTAAACCGTTGGTTTGGACTGGAAGTCTGGATGACTTCTTCGACGCTCCAGCGAACCACTGGAAGGTGACGCCAGCCAATCTTCACGTGGTCTCGCCCAGATTCCTCAAAAGTGCAACGTGGCCGCCCGGCAGGTGGGCAGTGCAAAAGCCGCAAAGCAAAAGCGATGCTTCTGAATCTGCTCTGCAGCTCACTTTGCGACTCGCAAGGGTTCCCACTGCGACAGTGCGATAGTGCTTCTGCAGTTTGGCATCTCTGCCAAAGTCTGCCACTGCTGGGCTTTCATTTTCTTTCCTTCCCTCTCAAGATTGAGAATTTGCAATCGGTTGCGATCCTTCTTGTGTAAAAGGTTGCTTTGCCCGGCAGCCAGTTTGCATCAAAGTTGAGATAGCGTTTCTAAATATTGATGCGAGCCAGCTGGTTTGTAAAACTACAGACAGCAAGATTGTTTGCAGCGTACCACCATTCAAGGTGAAGGCAGCCAGCATTGCAGTTTTGTTAGCGGTAGTCTTTAACACTCCTATTAGCGGCAGGAGGATGGCGGCCATAGGTCAGTTACGGCTGAATCAGCTGGGGGGGCGTTTGGGCGCCTTTCGCTCGGAGAGCCTGCTTTCCAGGAAGTGCCAGCAAGGGTGTTTGCAAGGTGAGAAGGGCGGCACCTTGATATTATTCTCCTACCTAACTTTCATATGGTCGAGCGCTTGCTTGCAAGTGGTGCGGCCTCTTCCGCCGCTATAGAAGCTGGGGTCATCATCGTTGTTTGGTTGCAACGGACTCCTTGTCTGCATCGACCATCGCACATGCTAGAAGGGCGCCTTTGCGTTGGAGTCTAGTACAAGCATTTGCATCGTTTGGTGTTGAGGTTCTTCCGCATCCCCTTGTAACCTGCCACCTACTAACAGGATCACCGCCAGTGGTGGCAACAGCATTGATTGCAGCCATTGATCAGAAGCTCCAGAAACTCTCGGACCATTTTGTCAACATGTTTCAGAACCCAGCAGCCTGAACCAGTTCGCTGGAAGATTCACAAGTTGACGTTCGGAAGTCAGCAGCTTTTGGAGAGATAGAAGGCGAATTGCAGAGTAACGTTCCTCTTCTCATCCACTCGCAGCCTGGCTGGCTCCTGCTCGCCCCACACCCAGATCAAAACTCTCACTCCGACCACATAACTCCGCACTGTTTTCGGGCATAAGCAGCTGGGCCGACCGGCCGCAGTTTCTGCAAGGCACGCGGTTCGCTCCGTCCGCCGCCACCCCTCAGTCTCAGCGGACGCCCCACCACCAGGTCATCAGGTGCAGCAGCAGCGGAGGGAATGGTGCGGAGGCGCCTGCGGGGGACATGCTTGTGAAGGCCCTTTCTACAGCCAACGAGGTACGAGTCACTGTGGTCGCCGCTGAGAATGCTGTGATACTTCAATTAGACTTGGGCAGTACTTTTTAGAGACGTACTGCCCGATGCGGCTTGGCAATGATTCGTTGACCGGAGCATAGTGCCTTGAGCCAGAAGTTGTTTGTCAAGGTGGCGCTTGAAAAATTCGAGGGTGGTAAGGGGGTGTATGTGTGCATCAAACTATCTGGTAAGTTCCTGTTTGAGATTTCTAAGACTTTACCAAAGCGAGTTTTAGTTGGGGTATGTTGAAGGGATGTGTCACCGGCACGTGCTAATACCGGCTCTTCTAGTCTATCAAGGGTCAATAGCAAGGAGCCTACGAGCTCACAAGGGGACCTTTGTGATTGCAGGTGTCGGTTATCAGTATGACTGGAACAAGGCTGGTGCAGGAAGCAGCGCATCGACACAAGACCTCCCCCACCGTAAGCCCGCACTGCTTACATATGCTCGCACTGTCCATGTAAGCTGAGGCCTCTTATTTTGTAATTGCGCAGGGCTTCATTCATGCTTGGAACATATGCTTGAATTGCCCCTGTGTCTCGTTCCTTCCTGGTTCCTTCCGTATTTGATATTGAAAGTGTCAAGTGGGACCCCATTTCAAAAGTGCCTGCCCGCTTGTGAGGTTTGATGTTGAAATTTGTTCATTCTTTCGCCAGGCCTCTGCGGCGCTTGGGCGGACGCTTATGGGCACACTGCTCCTTTGCTCCGCAAAAGGTACAAAGGGGGAGACGCTGCAGGTGAGTGTGTTGCAAGTTTGGGGAAGTTTGCCAGATTGTGCATACGCTGGAATCTGGTTTAGGTTACGAGCCAGCATCAAGGGTGCGGGCAGACAAGCCTCGCTCATTCTGTTGCGGAGGCTTTAAAGGCCAATAGCCAAACTAATCTAAATTTCAGAAAGATACCCCTTTTGGTACGCTTGTTGACTGATTAGATTTGGGTCAGGTCACAATGGCTCTTGACGACCAACTTGCTCTACTCTTAACTTCCTACAGCTCCTACGTGAGCCTCCTTGTAGTTCTGCTTGCTTGTTGGTAATCTGATTGAATCAGACGCTTCCAACGCGATGCTCTAGTACGTCCTTTCTTGCTACTACAGACGTGTCCGAATCCATGGGACTTCATTCCTCTCTGATTGTCGTTCTGTCCTTCTCCTGTGCAGGTAATGTTTAGAGGGAATGGCCCCCTTGGTCAGATCACAGCGGTCGCGGACGGCACTGGGCAAGTTCGCGGGTTTGTAGGCAACCCCACGGCCAGTCCTCCCTGGAGAAACGGAAAGGTCAGCTCGAGCACCACCATGCTTGGCGGTTGGGGCAGTTGGCCCTCTAAGCCGCGCACTGGCGTTTCTCCCACCACCTGCTTTTCCAAAGCTATTTGGAATTTCTGGTCATTGGTGAATCAATTCATGTTGATATCAAGGGGTTTAGAAAGGAGAGTCTTTGCGCAAAAGCATTTTGGTCGGTTGATCATACATGAACCAGCTTCATGGTCCCACTTTTACCGCACTTGAGTGTACGCTTCATCAAAGGTCCCATGGAATCTTCCGCCGAGCTGCTCCGTGACTAGATTGCAGATTGAAAGCGCCCCTACAGCAATTTCCGTCCCGTCGCTCCTTGGCAAGCGTTTTCCACGGACTCTAATCCACGAAGTGTGCGTTTGCAGCTCGATGTAGGCGGCGCGGTGGGAGAGGGCATTCTGAGCGTCGTTCGAAACCACCCGACGTGGCCTCAGCCCTATACGTAAGTTCGTTCCAGTCTGGTTCGGATCAGGAGGATTCTTCTCTCTACAACGGTCCCATCTTGTCGATTAATTAAGAAGCTTTGACTCGGGGCACGCTTAGGTTCAGAAGTCTTACTATGTGAGCCTCTTTTCTTTTCATATTCCTAAAGGTGTGGAAAAGGCGGAAAGAGCCGGTTAGCCTCACGGCCGTTTTTGCGCCTGCAGGGGCATAGTAAAAATCCACAACGGAGAGATTGCTGAGGACTTGACGTACTACTTAGCAGAGAGCGAACAGGTGGGTCGTTTTCTTCATCTGGCGATTCCGAGAGCGGACTCCTCCAAAACAATCAGCATCCACAGTGTTTGTGGTCTCCTGTCTTTGAACAGGCACAGTTTTGATTTTGGGGACCAGCAAGGATCTGGTCAGAAGAAAATAAACGTACATCGTTGGCTCAGAACTAAAGTGCTCGACTCTCCTGGTTGGTAACAAGAGCCGCATCGAACTCCCGCACTCTTGCTCTCGTAAGGCTCTACCATGCTCATCCTTAGCTGTGATCTCACCATATTCACAGAGCAACTCCGCGGTTGGGCTGGGCGTGCTGGTGAATAACCTGGGGGAGGTGATGGCGGCCGGGGGCTGGCTACTCGAGGTGAAGCAACGGCCCCGCAACGAACATCCTATTCCGAGCTTAGACTGATTCGACAGTTGCTGTAAGGCCGACTTTTGTCCTCACCCTGTTCTGCTTGGGCGTGGGGGTCAAGGGAGATAAGCTTGTTATATTGGTCATAAACATTGCTGACAAGGCCGTCGGCAAACAGGAACGTTTAAACGTGAGGAGTAAAGCCGTAAAGAGCCGAGCAATAATTTCAGAGAACAACTTCCGTTGTTCCGGGCTTCGGTCGAGTCTTTGCAAGCCTGCAGTGTCGAGAGCACTTCGTATTCGTAAGCACTTCTGCCGCGTCTTCTGCGATTTGTATGCCCTAACAAGCGTACCTTTTAGCAACCCGCCAAACTGGCAACGTTCACAACGACGGTCTTATAAATGGTTGCCCCTCCACTCGGAAGACAGTCGTGCTATCAGCCCATTGAGAACGTATGCTGCCCTTCTGCACCGTACACGTGTCTCATCCAGACGCTCTGTTACCACCCAGGTCCTTCCGTCGTGCTCGGAGATCACACTGCAAATTCTGGAACAGAATTTGAGCAATCTGCCGTCCGCGTCGACCATGGTGAATGACGGCTGGTCCGCGCGGCGCATTGTGGAAACGATATTGGACGGCGTGGGCGTGGGCGACTGGACGGAAGAGGTAAGGGGATCTCCGCGGAAAATCTCCTGAAATAGCGTCAGAGTAGCATACAAATGTGCGGTTTGGTGTCCTGTAAGTCGTCTCTCGGCCTGTCGAAATGTACAGGTGATTCCGAAACAGCGATAGGAAACGAGAAGATTCATCAAGTAGCAGCGCTTGGGTCTGCTGAAAGTTTAATTAATGTTCAGTCAGTTACCTGGCATGGAATGTGCGTGAAAGATGTCTCTCACGAAAAAGGAAAGGTATCTTTTCGGAGTAGGAATCGCACACTGCCTCCTGTTGAAGTGGGGGGCGAGGCGCGGTCTTTGGTAGAGCTGACCGCAGGAAAAAGCTATGCTTGCGCTCTTGCAAAAGCTTAATCTGGGTGAAGGTCCTTGCCCTGTCATCCCCTTCCGCCACGTGTTGGTCTCTCTTTCTGCACATGAGTTGCATCCGTTTGCTTGCTTCTTGATTTCAGGCCATTATGAGGCGCTCGATTCCTTGCGATTACTCTGTTTTGCTCCAAAACGTGTGCTGCTTCCAAAAATTCGTGCTGCCTTTGAAACATTGAGATGGGTTTCCGAATCTTACAAACAAAGTTACAAGATTAGCAGTATTGAAGAAGAGCAAGATACAACATGGGGTCGATTGCTCTGGTTCGAGGCTACGGAGCGGGCAAAGTTCGGTTTGGAGTTAGTTACTTTTTAACTCCAATTGATCCAGACCTGATTGGCGCCGAGAGATGACGCTACTTCGGCTCCCTGCAGGTGCATCCAAAGTTTGGGCCATGCGACTTGGAAATCATCCGACCGCGAATGGAACGTGCTTTGAGCAGCTTGGGCAAGAAGGAACTGGACGAGGCCCGAATGCAAGAAGGTCAGTTGGATCCACAAGCGAGCTAGATATCTGAGACGGGCTTTTGAGTGCTTGAGTAGTGCTTGGAATGTTTTCTTGCTCTGCATCACATTACGCTCAAGGAAGTGACCAACTGAACCGGCCCATATCTTGTGTCAGCTCAGGAGAGAAGCGGCTCTGATCCGGAAAACAGATTGTTGAAGATTCTGGTTTTGTCCTTGCGAATGCATCACGGTCGGAGGATAGCGTGAAAGCAGAAGCCAGCGAGTTGCGCAATTGGGCACAAAGCTTTGCTGAAGCCTAGTTAGGGGCTATCTAATATGTTCTGTGGTTGCATGCTGATGGGGCTGCTTTCTTTGCGGGTGCCTGAATTGGTTCTTCACGTCGCAGGGAAGCTGGAAGTGCGGTGCGAGTTCTGCAACGAGTTGGTCATTTTCGGGGCGGACGAGCTTGAAAGGATCGGCTCCAGTATCGAACCAAGTGAAGTATCTTGAACCTTGGGCTAGCCAGACATGTCTACAATGCGTCGAGTTACATTATGCACTTGTTTGCAGTTGAATGTAGGTAGTGGTCATGAGAACGGCAGCACATTTCTCAATGTCGACCATGGCCCGGGGTTTTTATCCATGGATGCACGCATCCCCCGGCCCCGTACATCATTCGACAGTTGTGCATACCTAGTACAGTCACCCATGCATGGAGTGGGTTCCACTCAAGTTCAATCCATAGGACTGGAATCCTTTTCGTAGGCGATTGTGTACACTACAGAAATATTTCAGTTTGAGCATAGGCTCAAGTTGAATCCATAGGACCTTGGTCCTTCCATGCTGAGGACTCAGGAGCACATATGTAAACTTAACGTGAACAATGATTAGATAACAGTAGGTAACAATAAGACGTCACAAAAACCTCAAACCTGCATGTCCATCATTGAGCTCGGGCCAATCTGGGTGTGTACATGTCACCATCTCTGATTGGGGATGATATTGGCCGTCGATGAGTACGAGGTCTATGCTTTTGGACGGTGGTCGTGATGGTTACGAGGTCGGTCGATATGCGTGGGGCAGTTGCCGCAAGCTCTGGCCAATCATAACTGAGCAAGTGTGGTTCCAAGATCCGTGCGTGTCAGAGTGCGTAAAGACTGGTCGCGAAGAGCGCCACGTCGCTCCATTTTCTGATCATCTCGGGATTTGGTCGCACTGGCTAGCATGCACATTGCGGTAGAATCGGAAGTTTGGCGCCATTGGCATTGGCATATTATTATTATAGGGCATCATTTAATTTAAGCTACCTAGATTCCTAAAATGCAGCTGATCAAGAAGAGCACTGCAGGAGAAGCAGCATGGCCCGTTGTCGAACGCGAATTGCTTGAACCACGTCACTGTAAGCCAAGAGAGGGCATGCATTGTGCACATCTAGAGGTATCAGTTTGTGCTGCCATTGATGGCACATGGGTGATGCCGGGAATTCCAACTGTCGGGGTTCTCTAGGTGGTGATTGAACTAAGGACGAGGCAATCGCGTCCTGGTGCCCTTCGTCGAATGTACGTCGGTGGGCTCTCGGTCGTTCAATGGTGTGCAAGCTAAGGCGTTGATCTGACAGTAAGCAAAGAACAAAGGCTGATTCAAAGATCGCTGTGAGGGTGTGCGCAAAGTAGCTGGCAGGGGTTCTGCGCCTAAGTTGGGCCCTGTAGCAGGAAAGAATTGGGCGTTGTAGTACAAAGAAGCGCAAGCGCAAGGCGCAAAGGCATCGTTTCAAGAGATTTTTTGGCAAGCCAGCATTCAATCGGTCCTTGCAATCAAATCGCGCCATGGCTTCCCGAGCAGCTGTTGCCTGGGGCACCCCAGCCTGCCGCAAGCTCGTGTCTCTCCGCATTGCTGATCGTCAAGTCTCCACCAGCCAAACATCAGCTTTCACTGGGCTCCGTCTCACTGCCCCCAAACCTCGTTTCTTGCTTCACATCAACCCACATGCCCGCAAAATCCATGCCCGTGCAACTGTCGCGGCCCCGCCCCCACGAATCAATCCAGCAAAAGAACAGTACGAATGGGACCGGCCAGAGCAACTAGAGGAGTCACGCCCCGCGCCCGTCACGTCTCCTCTTCCCCAAGGTGCTCGCAGCACTGCAAACAGGGACCTGCCCAGCTATGCTGAGTTTGTGGAAGCGGGGTCGACTCTGGGCCTTCCTTCCCGGTTGAACTGGACCCCCGTCCAGTTGCCGCGCTCGGCCGCGCAGGTGTTTGAGGCGCTGAGCTCAGCGGCCCTGTGGGAGACGTTGTCTGCCCCACAGTCGGCGGTGCAGGCGCTCTATGGGGCTGCCCGGACGCTTTACTTTGTGGCGCAGGTGGGCTTGCACTTTTGCGTGGCGCGAGTGGGACATGCTTTTTATAAGCTGCATGTGATTTTCTGTGGCTTCGATCATTACGAACTCAACGCACCAGCCACAGCCCGTTGTTGCATGACGGCACGATATGGGAGGGGTTGGGTGGTACCCCTGGGTTTCGTTTGAGATTGCTTGGTTCTGGATGTATGTGTGCAAGTGGAGTTAAAGTTTCTTGATATGCCATGTCCGGCATGCTCCATTCTATACCTGCCTTCAGGTGTTACTTTGCAGAGTTGACCTACATTTTTGAATTAACCTATGGGCGCTTTTGAATATCTGCCTGATGGGCCATGTTTTTCTGGCACAATGGTTCTATCTGTCAGAGGAGGGGATGTCTATTTGCAGGAGGATCCATTTGTTGCAATCCTGGTTACGTAGCTTGGCGAAAGCAGATTATGGTAGTGACTGCTTCTGAATTGTCAGAGTGGGGTCAAGGAGGACTAGATTCTTATGATTGAAGATTGTGCTCGACGAGGTGACAAGCTTCAAACGGTAGATTGAGAAAACATCTTATTGATCAGAATATGCCCCAATCTACTGATTCGACGAAAAGCTTGCTGCATCGTCACTTCCACTGTATCTCCGGCCTGGTTATATTCTCAATCACAATGATCCCCCTCCATCAGCAGGTGGCCCTTGAAGTCAGGGCCTGGCTTTTGTACAGTACAGTACATTATCAAGTTGATGATACCTCTAGCCGCAAGTGTTGTGCCCACTCAAAAGTTTGCTGGCCAGAAAGCCTTTGTTCATCAACTGATCTGTTGTGGGTTGAAGCCACTTCTACGGGAATGAAGCTGGGCAGCACACAGAAATGGTGTCTAAACAGCCTGCATGCTTACTCTGTTGCTTTCATGGTTGTCATCCATTTACTCAAAACCTTGATACATTACAAATGGGGCAGTCCAAAAACCCGCAGTACAGATCAGCTGTCTATTGATTGGTCTTCCTTCGTTGCTGCATAAGGTCCAAGTGTTGTCCCAGTATTTGTCAGCGTGTTGTGCACCTTTCGAGCGGCGGTGATTTGCAGAGGGTTCTTTGATCCTTTGCTGGGGCGCTTTACCTTCTCGTTGATTGACATCAACGAAAGCCGTGTGAGTTCGATGATCTGAGGCCTAGACTGACACCATGGATCCACAAACTGGGTCAGCTGGCCCTTGTTGCTCTACTTTCCCTGCTCTGACTTCGTCTTCATATAGATTGGGTCAGATTCAAGCTTGGCTTCACTTTCCTTGCTCTACCTCACTTTCCTGGCTCTGTCTTCGTTCTTTGTATGAACAGATTGAAGCTCCGCACCTTTTTTGCCCAAGACTTCTTGCCCGTTTTTCTTTGTCAGAACTCAACCCATAACAATGTTTCAAGTTTATGGGCCCCTTTTTGCAGGGTTTGTCTGTGGCTTCTAGCGCGGGGGTGACTGTTGGGCCCATCAACAAAGACAGTCAGATCACGGTCCAAGCCATGCTGGACTTGTACAACAAGGGTGCGCACCGCCTGCTGGGAAGCATCATGGAGCTGTACCGAATGGACACCGAAAACGTCAGGTGAGGGCGCGGTTCAAAAGCTGATTTGATGTAGCCTTCCATGCAATTCAGAGGGACTTGCTAGTAGCTGCCTTGTTGCAGTCCTTTCATACGACTGCCAACTGCCGCCTGATGGGCAGTTGCTTTTAGATCATGGACCATTATTTGTTGGGTCGACCATCATTGAACTTCCTGATCCTGGCGTTATGATTTCGGTTTTCGTTCAGAGGGTAATCAGCTTCTTGAGTATGGGAAATTTTGATCAGATCAGAAGGAAATCATGTACGTTACGGACGTCGTCCCTGTGATGACCTTCTGCCACAATGTCATTGCACGTACAGCTTCTCTGGGTCTTAATTAACGAGCACATTCTGCTAACCTCACAAATTTGACACGCGTATTTTCTCCATTGGCAGGCGCGGCATCTACCGGCGTCCGCACGACATGGACCCCCGCCACCGTCAGTGGCGCCCCACCATGTGGAAGGAGAGCAACGATCGACTCAAGGAGTTTACGTCCGAATTCAAAGAACGGCAGGCCCGGCAGGGTAAGTGGGCCCCTCCTTAGGAATTGGGCATTCTCTGGCGCCGGGCTTTCCTCATCCACGGCGCAAATTTCGAATTGAAAATTGTGAAATGATGACTCAGTATTCGCCACCTTCGATCTTAATGTGAATACCCTCGAGCAGAATCAGATTTTAAGCGTACAATGGTGTTCACACCTTCACGCCCCCTCGTCTTTCACGTTTAAAGTCGTTATCGTTTATCTCGTCTTAGAAATTTCCAAGGCGGACCTGACCGTGGTTGCATTTGCCTCTCCTTTTCCCCCTCAAGATATGCGCCAGATTTGCAATACTGGTTACAGTGAAACCGGTTCGAAAACCGGTTCGAATTGTCTGAGAAACGTCAAAGACAATGCGAAGCGGTATGAAGGGCTGTGTATGCTGCCATTCATGCTGAAGTTGAACAAAAAACCGAGTGTCGATGAGAAACCAACTCGTGTCTAGTGATTCTTCCTGGCGTGCGTTTGAATTATCTACATGCCACAGGAAGTGCTTCAAGAGGAAGAGAATTGGACACTGATATTCCATCATATCTGAACCCGGGTTTGTTGAGTTGGTCCTGCGCTTGTCCGCTTGGGCTTGCATCTGAGCTTAGCGAACGGTTTCTCTTGTCTGCAGGGCGTAAGGAGGTGCTGCAGACGGCGCAGGACGCGAGCGACCTGAGCCGGTACCCCGAGTATTATCTGCAGAACTTCCACTTCCAGTCGGACGGCTGGCTCTCGGACGCATCTGCGCAGGTGTACGAGTACAGCACCGAGACACTCTTTTCCGGGTCGCAGGTGGGCAGCCGACGGTGCAGTGCCTTGGTTTGTTGCTGCAGATTGCCTGCCCACGTGTATCTTTGGGCTCGATCTGATTGTTGCTGCAGATTGCCTGCCCACGTGTACCTTTGGGCTCGATCTGAGACCGGATCAGCGTCAGTCTGCTTTGCACCACCATTCTGCTAACACGCCCCTGAAGCTGGGCGGGGGATAGAAAGGATTTCTAAATCTGAAGCGGACAGTGTCTACCCATGCGTTTTTATGGAGTGCCTTCTAGTGCTCGAGTTCGTTCCTAAAAGATTTTGCAGATGCTGCAAACTGGTACGTAGTCTTACATCCAGAATTCGGATCTTCCCTAGCAATTGTCTCTCACTGTAAAGCACGTTTTGCTCTAAAGCTTACTCTACTTCCATACCTTTTCCCAAAGCGAGATTTTACAACCTCGATTCAGCGTGCTGAACCTTGCCACGTGTCACCTTCCCCAGGACGCCATGCAGCGGCAGACGCTGGTCCCGCTCCACTACTACATGCGTGGCCGTAACGAGGCGGACGTCCGCATGATGGACGTCGCGTGCGGCACCGGACGCTTCCTCACCTTCCTCAAGGACAATTATCCGCGGGCTAAGGTCTACGGGGTGAGAGTCGAGACGCATAATCCTCTTTGTATCAAAACAAATATGGGGTGCTGTTGCCGCTGCACACCTCCCGTGGGCTATCGGTGTATGTCTTTACGGTTTGTATTGGCCTTGTAAACAAGGTGGATGGGTGGCTTTTCAACGAACAAGGACATCGTAAGTATCCATTTAAAGCAAAAGGTGCGCTTTACATCGGGTCGGAAGATGTTAATTGTGGCTTTATTTCCCGTAAAAGTGATGACAATCTTGCTCCGTAGCTCTCGGGTCCAAGACGCGTTGACTCCATACCAAGCGTTGCGGCTCTTCATCGCTCGAATGTGGCGGAAATTACGGTCTTTAGTTCCCATCTGTTACTCGCTCTTTCGTGAAGGTATGTACTGAACAGCTTCCTTTGTCTGCTGCAGTTGGATTTGAGCCCGTACTATCTGAAGGCTGCCAAGAAGAATATGGACTATTTTGCTGGTAAGCTTGACACCGCAATCCTTTTGAGGCTCCAGACTGGCCCCAGACCCTACCTAACCTGCAGTCCTTCAAGTCTATCGCCTTTGCATACTGCTCAATGAGTCATCTTGTACTCGTACACATCGCCTATATTCGTCGAAGAGATGCAATAGACGGGGCTACCACCTCGGGTTGTACTCCCGCACTTGATTCAAAGACTTTCGCTTTTTATTGTGCAGAGTTTGACCGGAGGGTTAATGGCTACCGGGGCTTGACCAAAGCCGAGTACATCCAGGGCAACGCGGAGCAGCTGCCCGTCGCAGACAGTTCCCTCGACGTCGTGAGTGCCACCCCATTTGTGTAAAGGCATTTGAAAAATCCCAATCGACCGCCGTGAATCATTGGGGCATCTTTGCCTGCCGTTTCCAGAGCACCAGACACCCGAGGTTGGCATTTTCGGATAGGCAACGATCGATAAGGCTTAAGGGATAGCAACAGTCGGGGCAGCGTATCTTCGGCTGTCGAGATGCCGTGTGCGGAACGGAGGTGCACCGTGCACGTATTTCTGCGCTTCTTTCTCGTTTTTCTCCTTTTCGGAATCAGGTTTCGCGTGCTCGTGCTTGCCGTCGCTCACGGTGTCGCTTGTCAAGCGGCGACTACCGCTGTGGCATCAAACCATCAAAAGAACGAAGAAATGACAGCTTTGCTTCGGTGTAGATTACGTGCGTGTACCTATTCCACGAGCTGCCCCCCAAGGCGAGAAGGAACGTGGTCCGGGATGCCGCCCGGGCGCTGAAGCCGGGGGGAATCTTCGTGTGGGCTGACTCCATGCAGGTAACGCTTCCCGCACTTTGTAGTCTGGTTCCTTTCTATGCTCTTCCCTTTCGGGGTTCGCAGGGCATCCGCAATGTGATGGGCATTATTGGTGGATTCGATGTTGTGGTTCTCCGCTGGGTTCCCCGGTGCTCCGTTTGCTGTATTCCACCGTTACCCATTTCTCGACGGCTAAGAAGCGTCTGTCGCATGATTCCGGTCTTAGGAACAGAGTTTGCGTCAGTATGTTTAGGATGAAGTTTGTGAGCAAAGCCTGTTTATCTTTTGTGACCGCCGCCTTTCGATGCGCAGTGTGTTGGGAGTGCTGAACTGCTCCTGATTATACATTGCGGATTTCATCTGTGGCCTGGTATATCCAAAATTTGCTTCATCTGTTCTTGTCCTTCTTGCAGAGAGGAGATCGGCCCGAAGCGGACAGCAATCTGAAGTATTTCCCCAAGAACTACCACGTGAGTCCTCACCGCTATGCAAGACGATGTCCTGGAGGGATACAAGCATGGCAGTAAATGGATTGGTGCGCAACCAAGAGTCCCAAGCAGACCGTACCTTAGCTCGTGGTGATAGTAGCCATCCTTGCGTCTTGTTCGGCAATGGAAGCTAGCTGCCGGTTGTCTGACGCCGAAAAGTTATTTTTCTCTGACGGCGAAGAGAAGCTGCACACAAGGAAACTTTAGTCGACGCGGCAACGTCTGTGTGTATGGACGTTCGATTCGCCAGGCGTTCCGCACTTCTTTTGTACGATCACAGTAGCATTCCGACCTTCCCCCGAGTTCTTCCGAAGCTTTTTCAAGTTTGAAAGTGTTTCATCGATACTGTGCTGACCCTTTCGCTTATGGGTGTGTTTTCTCAGGAGCCGTACTACATGAGCTTCGTCGACACGGACTTCAAGCGCTTATTCGCTGACGTCGGCATGCGCCACGAGAGCACCGTCCTGGCGCACGTCACCAAGGTGGGGGTTTGCGCTTTCTCGCTTCGATGACGCCATGTGGCCAGCGAATCTTTTCAAAATCGGCCCACATTAACATCATTTTGATAAGGGTCACACAGATTCGCCCCTGCTTCACTAAGTTGCACAAGAGTGCCCCGAGTATTCCATAAGCAACCCACAATACTCGATGGGCATTTCCCGATACTTTTTTTTTTGACTGATACTCCTTGGGGTTCTTACGATGTCTAGATGCGAATGAAGCACGATGGTTGGTGTGAGCTCCGTTTTGACGCTACGCAACACGAACCGAGCGTCTCATGAGACTCTCTTTGTGTGTCTTTGCAGGTTATGTGCTTCAGGAAGATGTGACGTGTCTGACGAACGCCAAAGGCTGGATATGAACTTGGCCGTATAGAAATTGCGCTTCGAAATTGCTCGCTTCGCTGCATCCTCTTTGTGAATGTTACCAACGCAAAATGCGCGCTAAAGGTACGGAAGAAACGTAGTGTACAGGAGTTCCAGGTTCGCAAACACGTAATGGAAAATATTATTGTGAAGGGACATATAGTTACTTAGAGCATTCTTTCAATCTTTGTTCGTAGGAAATGGTCAGTGGACGGGACCTACAAGCAATGGCTTGCTTGGGTTGATTTTTTGGAAGGATTCTCGAGATCGCCTTGCAAACCGTCAAGGACGATAGGAATCTTGTATAATGTTCTATAGGTTGTAAACCTACCCACACAGTGGGCGGACAGAAGGTGACGATTCGGAATCGTAGTGTTGCTTGAATAAACGCTCTTGTGAAATGGGAAGGGTTGCAATATTCTGGCTTCGTTGGATCTCCGGCATGCATATATTTGTTTTTGAAAGTATACCGCAATTCCGGTGCTAGGGTTGGATATATGTGTCATGATGCCAGCCGTCCATGCATGTCCCAGTGAACATCAACTTCAGGTTTAGCTCCTTTCTTGAGAGTGACGAAACGTACATCGAATTCCGCGGTGCAATCTATCTTGAATGGCACCGTTTGTGTGCACTCCTAAACGAACTTTAATAAGCTCGCCATATGTTGTAAAGTTGTTTATTTGAGAGTTTACAACCGATCAAGGAACCCATGCAAACAATTACAGCGTGCGTCAGTACGAGTCCAATAACGTCCAATGTTGACCTAGCTTCAAATGCACGCTGCATGCTACATTTATAGTGACAATGAATTTTAAAGCTAGTTGAGTCGATTTTAAGCTGTGTTGAATCACTGAGTTAAGGAGTCGAGCATTTGCTGTAGCCGCGGGCCGGACTGAATTATTGCAGAGCATGGTAGATTATACTTGCGGTCATGCGCGCTGAGTGCATTCGATCTATCAGCGCCTAGCTCAAGACGGTTCGATGTGCTGAACGTATGTCATGTGTACATTTTTACATGTTTGGATCTTCGTCTCTTTTCGTTCTCGCCGTAGCCAAATATATAGGTTTAGTCCTCTCATGGCATACATATGCAAACATTGAAGCACGTTTCAAGATACAAATGGGAATGAACTCAAAGATCTGAAAGCCCACATAGCTCATTTGGCAAAAAAAATTCTCGTCTTCCCCTGCTGTGCATGAACTTGGAAGCAACGCGCCAGATTGTCACAAGGGTTCGTTCTCACCCCCCTACGGCTAAATGATTTGCAGAGCCGGGCCTTGCAAAGCCAGTATTCGTTTGCCAAGTATCGTTCTCTTAGTGAATGTTTTTGTAACGCTGTAGTAGCACGTGGCAGTACACGAATTGGTGATGAAATTCCAGCATTCTGTTCTGAAATTCTAGTACGCATGGAACTTACAAACGGAGCCAAACGAAATGAGGCTGTCCTGGCCGTCAATCGACACAATTTCACGACTCCTCAACCTGCGAAAGCTTCAGTACCCAGCTCGCCGTATATTTGCGACCTTGCCATCCTTTGAACCATCCAACGACCCTCCAACATACAAGCAACGCGCAATTCTTGCCCCATTAAGGGAGGCTGTCTTTCAAAGCACTGCAGCGCTCAGCTCCTATGGAGCACGTGCTGACAAATGCGGGGCGGCCTAAGATTTACAGTGATTAAGCCTAAGTGCGCGAATGCGGCGGGAAACGCGGGCGCCTAGTCGTCGTCGCAGCTCATTGCGTGCACGAAGTCCATCCCGAGCTTGTGGTACTGCTCCCGGGTGATGCACCATGCCCCGGGCATCGTGCTCAGCTGCAAAGAAAAGATGGTTTAAGGAGCTGGGCAAAATGAGCAACTGAGACCTGCTCAAGAAGAAAAGCCTCTGGTTCTATGCAAGAGGCATTGGCCCGTAAATCGCAGGAACGAGATGTTTCACCGCCAGTCTGCAATGCATCCGGGGTGAATATTTCGGATTCGACAATAATTAAGTCGATGCCCGGCCACTTCGCGACAGATCGAATACTTCGACGTCGAAAACGAGAACTAGTCCGTGTACTAAGGAGGCCCAAGACTTTCGCAAACGATCCCACACGCGGCCTCGACGGTAGCAATCAAAGAGGACGTCGCCCGATCCCTAATCGAACCTCTCGCCTCCCTCAACGCAGCGTTGTTGCCAAAGCTCGTTAAGCAGACCAAACTTTGCACTTAAGAGCAGGCCTTCAATGTAAACCAAAGGGGTTGACCCATCCTCTTGGCAAGCGCAGTGATCGAACGCGGCTCGAGTTGCACGAAGAGGATGAAGTAAGCTCTCCGCTACAGAAAACCAGATCCTAAAGCGGGACGCCAAAACTTGCTCATGTTATCAGATCGTACTTGCAAAATGAAGAAATTCGAGACGTGCAAACAAGCGGCGGCCACTTGGCAAAGGTCTAACTTCATCCTTGAACCCTCTTATGATAAGTTTTGGGTCTAGGTTTGGGCTACATCGGTCAATAAGACGCTTGAGAATGTGCGGCCCACTCACGTTGCTGATGACCTTGGCTCCGAACCAGGGCGCGTGCGGGCCGTGCGTGGGGGGGATAACGCGCACATGCGAGCGCAGGTTGGAGGGGACGAGTGACGTCACGTCCTTTTGCAGCCTCTCTGCAAACATGCGGTTCTCGAATGTGAATACGCGCAGGGCAGCTGCCGCGGATAGTGAGACTAGAGACGGCCAAGTGCAGGTGCAGACTCACGCGGACATAATACGCTAGGCACTCACCTAATGCAACTTGGAGAATCAGAGGCCCGGAAGTGGCGGGCAATAGTAGCGGCACAGAAAGCATGTCCCTGTTCGCTGCTGATCAAGCCGAGCTGCCAACAGAGCACCAGCCAAACCCAATATGGGCAAAGCTAAATGGGGATTGTCTCCGGAATGGGGGGTGCGTACCTGGTAGGCCGGGGATGCAGGCGGACCCCCCCATGAGCAGCACGTTCTGGAACCAGCCGGCGTCTTCGGGGTCTGCGACGGGGACTTTGGCGCACTTCTCCATGCACGTGGCCACCAGCTGGGCCAGGCCCTCCTCTTGCGGGCTGTCGAACGAGATGTACACAAGTATTAGCGTCCGGAGAGGCGAGAGCTTTGTAAGGTTACGGATAAATGAAGGTGGGGATAGTCTGGGATTTCAAAGTGGGTTCGGCTGGTTTTCTGAGTGTGTTTGCAGGGTTCTTGTGTCGGACCTTCCAATGATCTGAAAGGTTTGCTGGCAACATGGGCTCGGGTTGATGCACTCGAGGTTCTGGAAAGCTCTTTTCTACTGGTTCTTGCTTTTTAGAACAGCCCACAAACGCATCCCGAAATCGCATCGTGACAAAACTTCCCCAAAATTCAGACGGGCCCAGAGCGAGAGAGAAAGAAGGTGGCAACTCTCAAGATAAGCAGGTGGACACAAGTGGCGTGCTGCCAGGGGATGCAAACCGGGGAAATTCAACGAAAGACTCAGGTCCAAGAAAGGACTTGTATCCACGACAAACAACCCTTTTTGAAGCGGAGGGAAACATATGCAGGAAGTGGCAAAGTCTCCGGAAGCGCTGCAGTACAAGGACGAGACAGCCTCTGACCTGCTACAACGCGTGGGCAAAAAGGGGAACGTGGCGCTCTTTGGCGGCACCTAACAGGGCGGAGACTGCGTATGATCAACCAAAGGGGAGAAGCAGAACACAATAGGGACGTCATTACCTTCAGGGGAAGGGGACCACCAAAAAAAAACAAGAGCGTGTTTCGTGCTCTGACCTGCCGCTGCGTGGGAAAAGAAATGTGGGCGGCCTTTAGCGGACCCAACAGGGAGCCGACTGAAAAATAAGCAGCCAAAGCGGGGAGGGAGAACAACATGAGGACAACAGAAACATCTGTTTTGGGGGGGAAATCATTTTCAGGGAAAACAGGGATTGTGTCCGGCTATGACCTGCCGCAGAGTGCGGGCTGGAAGAGGATCTCCGGCGCCTGGAAGCGCTGCTGGTCCAGGTCAAAGACGCCCTCGCCGCGCACGTCGCAGCTCGCCTTGGTTAGCGGCTTGTCCATCTCCTCGTCGTAGTTCTGAGCGACGTAGCACAGCTCCTGTGCAGCCCAGAGGTCGCCTTTTAAGTCGAATTCGCCGGAGCGGGTATAAAAGTAGATACTGAAATCACAAGCCGAGCATCGTGTGCACACATCGAGAAACGCATTTAGTCGGAAGGCCGGTCTACTATGAAAGGGCATCACTTTTGAGCATCTAATCGTGCTGTCTCGGAGGGATAAGCCTTTGTCAATGAAGGCGATGCTGACAACCTCTTTGGACAGCTTCGTCTGTAAGAAGACCACGTATTCCGACAGAGCAGAAGCCGAGCAAGTCTTCACACGGGGCCGCACCTCCTTGATGGTACGCACTGTGAACATGCTCATGTAGTGTAAATGCGCCCGGTCCATAAGGTCGCTCAGCACGGTCGTCAGCCGCATCGCGCCCAGCGCCAGCAGGCCTGACGTCAGCGGCCGGAGCGGCCGCCCGTTGAGCACAGGCAGGATCGTCGTGTTCCGGAACCCGATGTTCACCACAATACCGGATCGCATCTGGGCCGCCGTGAGAGCCAAAAACGCCTGAGGAGGGCGTGGGTCGAATGGTAAGACAGGGCTCACAAGTTTCACGTGAGTTGGGATGCTGAAAGCGGAAGGCTGAGTGCGGGGTAGGGATTCCAGCCGGGCGGAATGAGAAACCATTGATGAATATAAGTCAAAGAACAAGCTTGCAGGCTCGCAACTGAACCCCGTCAGCGGAACAATACACGCAGATTAGGCAATCACGCCCAGGCAAATCTAGAACAGTCACTGGAAACGAGAGGCTCTACCAACCCACAAGGTGCCCTGGAGAGATCCCACAGATCTGCATGCGTCTGTCTCGCGTTGCGTGTCTTCTCTCCGGCCGCAAATCTCCGTGATACAAACCGAGAGAGATCGCTCAAGACTTGAAATGGCTAGGCTCCGGGCCTGCGTAACACTGATATTCAGCAACTTGGCAGAAGTGCCGCATACCTGGTCCACGGAGCAGATGGCCGGCACCTTGAGCTTGTCGAAGAGCACCTCGCACGTCATCTGCCGGAACGACCGCCGCTGCTGCCGGGATGCCTCGGGGTCTGCATAAAGACAGGGGCTTGCGTCTTGCTCTGCTCAATTCACGAAGATCTCTTCACGAGGATTCCACCGCAAAGCAGTTAGTGGCTCTTCCTCAAGACTCTGCCTTTCGGATTTCAAAGTTATGTTTGACAGAGCTTAATTATGTCTGTTGGCGAACCACCCGTAGTCCCATGGGGGCCAGGAGGACTAGGCGGATTTGCGGGGTCGAACCCGAAAGTTTGGTTCAGATGATTCTAAGAAGCACAGCATGGAGATCACTATGGATCATCAGCACCCCCTCAAGCCCACCGCCAGCGGACGGTAATCCTATGACCCTTTCGCAACGGCAATAAGCAGGTTCCCAGAACGCAGCCATTGCGCCCTGAGCCAAACAACCCACTTCCGGATCTTGTGACGCGTCCTTAAGAACACCTTAAGTCCCCGCAAACTTTTGTCTACTGAGTTCCGCCAAAGATATGGTCGTAAACGCACCTGCGTTGTAGCAGAGCGGCTCCGAGATGATGACGGGCTGCTGGGGTGCCTTAGCGCCAAGACTGCAGGCAAGGTACACCAGATACTGAGCGATGCAAAAACTGAAAAACCGCGGTCAGGGGAGGGATAACAGAGACGATGCTACGAGCATCTTCCGAAATCATAAGAACCAGAAAATTGAAGGGCTCCATGAGGCCTGCTTTGCAGAAAATACCAAGTTAGCCAAGAGGTACTCGGTGCTTGTAGACACTGTAGACACTTGTAGACACAGGGTGATCTTGACAAAGATTCTGATGGCCTTGCGGAAATCTGAATGCCCGATGAAAGCAGGTGCGAGAGCCGCGCAGCCACTTCCACTTCCTTGTCGGCAGGACAAGAACGAATGCGGACCTCACCTGTTGAACACCGCAGAGTAGAGCTTCTTGAGGCGTGGCAGCGTCGGGCTCTCAATGTTGCCAAATTCCTGCACGATATACAGCGATGATACAGCATGAGGAAAGGAAAGAGAGAGGCAAGTGACCAACATGGGTTCCTACCATTGCTTTGGGCTATTTCGCAGGACAACAAACAAGGAAAGTGGGCCCTAGATGAGCATCCTAGAAACCTGGGCACACCAGAAGAGGACCATTTGGCAGGGGACGCCAAAAGACGAGGGTAGCTATGGAAGAGGGGGCTTGATTCAGAAGACAGAACCTGGCAAGCTTGAGGCCCAGGGGGTAGGTGACCGAGGAAAGTGGGCCAAATGACCCTATACGTTTTATGAGGACAACTGAAAGAGGCTTAAAGTGAGTGTGGGCAGACGCGTCCGCAATCAGCGACCGATAACCAGGGACGCGCCTGTTTCTCTTGCCGTGATACGCCCGTGCTATATCTTGGCAGCGACATTGAAGGTGACTTTACCGCATCGAGGACGCCGCCAGAGCCACGTGGGTTCCTTGACCACAACGCCCTTCTTAAGGGGAAAGGGTAGTTCACAAGAGGTGGGCTTACCAGGAAGGTGGGCACCGTTCCCTGGGGCCGCAGCTGCTCGCTCCAGCCATACTTGCAGTACCCTGAGCCCGCATCCACCACGACGCATCGGGGCAGCTGGCACCGCGCCGCAAACGTTTGGAGGCGGGGCGGCAGCGGGGGCGGGTGAGCAGAGCTGCAAAAACGTAGAGTGCGGGTTTGAAGAGCGGCCAGGCGCCATTAAACGAGGACAATTATATATGAATCCTTGCGCAAATCTGTACTTGAAGAGTGTCCTCTAATACAGTTTCCGCAGCAGAAGCGCGTATCTTTCAAAAGTTCGGACGGGTGCCGCCGTTGCCTCACAGACGGACAAAAAAGGGCAAATGCGACACAGTAAATGCGACACAGGGAGGTGATTAAGCATTGCAGAGACAGTCCGCACTGGCTGATGCCTCGAGCCTTTGCAGCCGGCAACCAGAAGTCCACTGCAGATTTGACTGCGAAGAGAGCACGGCAAAAGTCGTTGAAAGGCTTAGCAACTTTTGAAACACAACAGAACAATATGAACTTTAACACATGGATTGGATGATCAAAGTGAGTGACGACTACACAATTTGTGAATGCTGACTAGGAATTGAAGGTTTTCTGAGCAAACTCAACCGCTCTTTCACAGAACCGCAATGAGGAAAAGCCTTTGATAATGTTGCTTAGAATCTTCTTACTGGAAGGCCCTAAATCAGCAATGTTCCATGGGTGTAGTACGGATACCTATTATCAAACACCTTTGTCCAATACAAAGCGAACTCTCAGGCCTATGATAGTTATATCTATTTTAAAACCACACTGGGGACTTTTCGCCACTTTCCTTTCGCGCCTTGTGGGTTTCCAACCATAGCTCTAGTTTTGGCGAAAATGTGACCAAAGAGGCAACAGACCGAGTAGCAAAACAAATGAAGCAATGGGGTAAAAGCAACAGCTAAGACGTTGGAGCTTTTGCAAACTTTTGGAAACAGCAACATCCTTCATTTGCTTGTCCTTCAAAATCCAAGACGCATTCTCAGGAAAATGGAACAGAATGAAGTATGCAACGACCTCAGGTGACCTCAAGAGAGATGAAGGCCACCATATCCATGAACTGTAATTTAAAGCTTTCGATGGAATAGCACAGCCCACCCAGATTGCATTAAGGAACCCTGCACGGGCGGTGAAGCAAATTCAATAAGCAAACCCTGATAAAGCGGCATGAAAATATCCAGATCAAATCCTCACATGGCCCGCCGCCCCAGCCTCAGATACTTTTCCGCATACGGCCCCGCCTCGTAACCCTTCTCATCTCGCTCCCAGTGACGCTCCCACAGCGAATCAGCCGCCGCCACCTGGCGCCACAGCCTGCATACCGCGCTGCACTGCGCCAGCTGGCGCGCAGGGACCAACGCTAAAACCCTCGCTAGAACCTCAGGGGGGAGGTCTTCCATTGTGTACGAGCCATCCCCCCCCGAGCCGGACCGTCCGGACAGCAGCTGCGAACCGTCCGAAAGAGAGACCAAGTTGGGGTCTGACGCGTCTGTTCGCTTTCCCCCCAGCTTAGCAAAGACGGCTTGGAACCAGGCCATCAGGAGACGCCAAAAGCGGCCAAGCACAGCCAGCGGGGAACGTTCTGTGGCGGCCAAGCCTGCAGGGTTTTGGGACATGGTTTGCGGGGTCCTCTTGGGCCAGGAGATTTGAAGACCGCCGCGAAGGAGAGGTGGCAGGTCGTCGCCAGGTGCTAGGTAGCTATTGCCTTTCATACTACCGCCATTCTTGGTTGTCTCCTTTCCCCCTGCCGTTGCCAATGCCATGCTCTGTAGACTGTCCTACTGTCCTAGTACCTGAGGCTGTACCTAGATGATGGGTCCTGCAGCCTGCTCAGTGCTGAGTGCTCTCGTTTTCACAGCTCGAAGACAATTGGTGTCAGGGGCATGTCAGACACTGTGAATCTGATTTTGCTGACACCGACATTCGCCTGCCACACAAAATTAAATGTTGTTGTGCTCCGGGCCCCAACACAATCCTCCCAAATCCGAAACGGTTTCCGTTCTAGATTCAGCGCAAATTGCGTTCTGACGCCTATCGCGGACGCCCTGACGTTGCAAGCGACCCCAGGGCCGCGGTCCCGTCATCGAGGTCGCCCAAACGTGACTTCTGACTTTCAAAACTGAAAGCGTTAACCTGGGTTAATACTTGGGCAAGAACGGCTAACAACCTTCAAACAAGCTTGTGCTACCAAGTTTCAATCCTTCGAATCCCGTTCCAATCCTCCAAATCTGAGAGTTGGCGCGGTGGCTTCTACTGCTACAATGCCGCCTAGGTGACTGTTGGTCTAGCTCGCTCTGTTGCTGAAGGCCCCGTTTGATTTCCTCGAATGGCGTGTCGGGAGGGAATGCAGCGATATATCCTGCAATTGAGCAGGCTGCGGCTGAGAGAAGGCAAATGGATGGATGCAAGGCGGACGTTACATTCTTCCCAAGTGAGTCCCAATCGAGTGCTCTGTAAGGCTTAAAGAGTGGCCAGCGCAATGGCGAGGCTTGAAGGAGTTCTCACGGGTACATGCAGAGCCCGTTGATGACATACCAAGATTCACAGCACAGGTTGCCACTCAGCAACCCATTTTGCAATGAGCTGCCCCTTCTGGCATTTCCTTTCGCATACAATCTCAGTATAAGGGGTTGGTTGTTGCTGCAAAAGGATGTGTGTCACCATACCTAGTGGTCGCAAAGAACTGGCATAACACCGCACAATCATGGATGGAGCTAGCACGAAGGAAGTGTGGTGGACTTGTGGAAGATTGAGGATCAATGAAGTGTCATGAGGACGACCTGTTAAACTTCAATGCCTCAGAGAATCCTGGGGCAAGCACTGTCATGGACCTGAATATAGGGAGTTCTGTCAGGCAGGTTTGAAGGCGCTCAGTCTAAATTACAACTTCAGTTTCACCCCTCAGTAAATATTTCATGTCTACCCCCAAAGTTTAGCCTGGGACAGCATATCCAATCACATCTACATATGTGTGCTGCAGGTTAACTCCCCAGCAAATGGCACCCCTCCCTTCCGGCAACCCCCTGTCTCCCGCGCCGAAGAGGCCGTGATACCGCCACCAAAGTCCCAAGGCGGGGGTCCTTTCCTTCTCCTTTCTGCAGCAGTCTGCGTAGCGGCTGGCGCAGGCTTGTACTACACCTTTTACGTGGATCCTGCCTCTGGTCACCAAGCATTGGCCCCCGCGGACCCTCCGACGTCTCCGGTCTCGCTCCTGGAACCTGCGAAGCTAAGCGCACAAGATGAGATGATTCTGAAGAGAGACATGTTGCGGGCGGAGCTAGAGCACCTGAGGACACAGAAGCGCACCAAGTATGTAGATGCGAAGAAGCGGGAGATCAAGGACGAGCTCAAGGATCTGGACGGTAGGATAAGGAAGGCGAGCGCTTGACTCGTCTGTGGAGTCTGTGTACATAGGTTACCATCAGGTATGAGGTAGTCCCCGTGCGATCAAGTGTATGCAATCCAGAGTTTCGAGTCACATGAGAATTAGAAGCAGTCCTCAATGTCCAAGCGAAGCTTTGAAGGCTCGTAACGGCACTCTGTATCGTTTTCCCAAGTTGGCACATGCAACACTATCAGTGGCAGGCTTTCTAAGCTGGTGCAGAAGCCCCTAGCGGCTTCTGAAACCCCGAACTCTGATCGCATGGATATGGTTTCCGCATGTGCTAATCGAACCAATCAGGTAGGTCCAAGCTACATGCAGGATAGAAAACTCGCATTGATGTGAATGGATGACGAAAGCTATTCACAGCTTTGCATGCTACGAAGAACCGTCGCACGAAGCAACTGCCACATTTTTAAGGCCATGGCGGGCTTAAGAGCCGTAATTAAAAGCATGTGCGTTGAGAGAAGAGCTAAGCATGGCAGGCGTACACTATTTTGCGCCGCATGTGCATCTTCATCGATCAATCACACCGCATGAGCAGATCTGCGTTCAGGATCGTCTGCATGGCCAGCACCGTCGCCCAATCTTGAAACAACGTCATCCAAATAACGCGCGGCCTACACTGAACCGTTGAGTCACTGCATCAGGACAGAACCTTCCACCGTCCTTTGAAATTCCTTTGGCAAACGTGTATTGCCTCCCCATGCTCTTAGTTAGGTCCGGCGTTTGTCTGGTGCACCATGTACGCAGAGGTTTCGAAGATTGACAGCCCAGGAGCTTGCGCTCGACTGTGTATTGGGGCAATTGTCACCTTGTGAGATACAAGTCTGACGCCTGCTAGCCTACACGTGGTGCGTTTTATATAATTGTACTGTTGACGGTACAATCCGGAGCCGTCAATGTTACTGTACATGTCTTTGTGTCCGAACTCGGTGCTCTTGCGTTCGTGCCACAGTAGATAACTGCTCACCCGTAATGTTCCCATAGCTGATAGGTTCTCGTCTGCACATAGCTTACACGCCTTTATTCTCAAATCATAAGCCAATCAGCAATCAGCGGTAGGGCTGTAACATCAGCCAAGTCATCTGGTAGTAAGATAAGTGAAAGCCGTGCCATGAAACGTCACCAGAATGCTAGATTCGTATCCTTTTTCGGTACGGCAACTCCTCCTTCGGACCCCCCATAAACCGGGGGGAGCGCCTCAGCGGCTGCGCCGGTTCCTCCCGCGCAGCCGCGACGGCCGCGACCATCAACGCTTCCTGCTCGGCCGCTCGCTTCCACAGCGCGCGCGCCTCCCGTTCGCCGATGACGTCAGCCGCCTGCTCGCTGATCTCAGCAACGGGCTCCAGCTGCGCCTGCCCCCTCCTCGCCCGAAGATTCCCACCCTTTCCCCCGTTGACAAGCCGCGACAGCCCTTGCTTCTGTCCGGACGAAAACGAGCCCTGCGCAACAAGGACCACGTTCTCCCCGTTTCGAGGGGGCAGCGGCGCTAGCTCAACAACCCCCCGCTTCGCCACCCCCCTAGGCGGCATTTGTCGCTCAACTCGGAACGAGCCCTGTCGCACCACCATCCGGGGGGGTAGCATGGCCCGTGCCCGCCCAGCTGCCCCTACCCCCTGTTTCGAAACACGCTCGTCTAAAGCCATATTCCCCCCACCTTCTCTCCCGCCGTTGCTGCTTCCCGTGTGGCTTATAGACGGCACCGCTTCTTCCAGAATATAGTTTCCAGGCGGTACGTCTAAAGCTTCCGACAACTCGGGCGAATGCGCCTCCAGGTCGGGAACGGCTAGAAGGTCCTCGGCGGCGCTCATCGCAGCACGGTGCTGCGCCTGCTGCCCTTCGACTTCGCGCTCTAGAAGCCACGTCAGCCGCTGACGCCCGCCGTCGTCCTCGTATGCGGACCGGTCTAACTCGCGCTGCAAACGAAGGTGGTCTTGTTGGTTTGCGTGGAGATCACTTTCCGTCCATAGGACATTCAATCGACTCATAAAGAGAGTAGATGCAGTCCTCGAAAGTTCCTCCCACGAAGATAATTCTGTGAGAAACAACGTTCCCGGCTCATTTCCGTCAATTGTACGTCAGAGCAAATTGAAACCGTGGATGAGGGCATGAAAGATTTGTTTGGAGCTCAACATGACGATCCCAAATCTTTTTTCGGGCCTGGTCTCCCTCCGCCTGGACCTCAAGCCAAACCTCGGGGGTCTCGGTCGCTAGAATGATTAACGGGAGTCCAAAGGTCAGCACGTGGCGTGTAGAACCCTGTCGACACCACAACGCTGCTTTCTAACGAGCGGCCCTAACCCAGCTCTCAGCCTTTCGCTGACTAAAGCGGTGCCTCACCTCTAGCAGCCCGAGCGCCACAGAGGGGTCTCCAACCATCCAAAAGGCAGCGTTCGGGAGGGCGGCAGGAGACGGCGGCAAGGGGGGAAGATCCAGGGCTCCGCGGTGCCCCCTGAAAAAGTTGTGCGCGAGCGCCTCGTCTGCGGTACAGCGCCGGGAGGGGTCGAAGGCCAGCATGCGCGAAAGGAGGTCTACGGCATGGGGGTCGCAACCGGCCATTGAAGGTACCAGGCTGCCGGGCTGGAAGGGTAGGGACATGACAAATTCAGCTTTGTGTGACTTGGAGGGTTCAAGTGCTTTCCATTTTGCGATGAAGCCTGCCATAGAAGGTATCAGGCTGCCGGGTTTCAAAAGGTAAAGGACGATGATGTTTTGTAACTTCTGAATTTCCAAGTGATTTTCGTTTTTGGGCAAGCCGGCCATCGAAGGTACCAGGCTGCCGGGCTGCGAAGGGTTTGAGGACGGTAGGGGTTATCAGGCTTCGAAGTTGTTCGACTTTTCAGGCTGAGCCCTTCCTGAATTGCCGGTGAAGGCTGTCGCGGACAGCAGGATTGTGACCCCACGCCTACATCGTTGACGAGACATGGGTGGCAAAAAATGAGTTTTAGGACAGATAAAAGCCAAGACAAATAACGTTACAAAAGTGTGAAAGCTTTGGAGGTCCAGCGGTCTGCAGCAGCGAGGCAGCGCAAACGATCTCTGGTACGCACACTGACGACGCATCGTCAAACTGCTCGGTCGGCCTCCCGACGTCTCCTAGACTTGTCTGCGCAGATAACTGCCTGATTGACATCCACCACGACCTCTCAGATTCCTTTGCGCCGGTCGGCTTTGCTCACCCGGCCTGGCAGCCGCTTGAGGTACGCGCGCCACGCTTCGCTCGGGACGGTCTCGACGTCCCGCCAGGGGGGGGTGCCCACCACGTCGAAGATGACGTCAAGCTGAACACGTGGACCAGAATGCGATCAGCGGAGTGGCTCAATCAGTATTTCAAAGGCTGCGGACCAGGGTATCACAGAATCTTAAGACTTTTTTCCTGAGCCCGCGAATGATTGGCGGAGTGCCGTCCATGCCTCGACGAACAAGCAGAGGCATGCGGTATGGATCACGAGTCGGATTACCGTGAGCTTCCAAACCATCCTTCAACGCCCGTGCTGACGTCAGCACGGAAACCCACACGTCAGCATGGCCCGAGCGCCCCGTCCGCCGGTTCTCACCTGTTCCGCGAGCGGCGACTCGCCGTCGTCCACGTACAGCTCGCCCTTCTCCGGGGTGGCGGGCTCGCCGCGCACCCCAAACAGCGGGCGGGGGGGCGGGCCGGGCCGCTGGGGGTTCATCTGCCGCTGCAGAAGTTCCTGCAGACCAGTGTTTGACCTGCCGGTCAGCCTTGAAGGTGAATGTCTGAAATATGGGCGTAGCCCCGCGGCAGGGCTACGTTGCGGTTGCTTTTCTGGCAGGCAGTTGCTTTTTGTTAAGAACCTGATCTGCCCTTGGTTCAAAAGCTGAAAGGCAACGCGAAGAGAGGAGATACGCAGAAAGGGAATAACGGCTATTGCGGTAACCGGCTCTTGGAGAATCAAGACCATTCTGAAAGACGTACTTAGCCGCCGATGCTCGAAAGTAGGCTTACCCAGAAGATGCAACCTAGCGACCAGATGTCGATGGCTGACGTGTACTGGCCTCGAGACATGATGACCTCGGGCGCGCGGTAGCTCGGGGTCACCACCTGCAGGTTTGGCTCGAACCGCGGTTAATCAAGTCAACGTACTCAATTTGCGACGTCTGGAATCCAAGCGAGAGAGAAAGTCGACGTGGGCACCGGATAGTGGGACACGTCGGTATGCACGAGTCGACGGGTGTCACTGCAATGAGAATTAAGGTCAGCCTTCCAACTGGCTCCAGGCGGATAGGAGCGATCATGGTGGACGCCTTACAGGGCCACATACGATGGACGCAAAACCCAGCCTATATAACTTCTCCTCTTCAAACTCCCGAGCAGGGAAAACGGAGACGCGAAGGCCGGCCTACCGTGCGTGTGTATTGCCGCTCCAAACGCCGCTTTTTCCCGGACCCTGACGGCGTCGACAGACTGCGATACTCCTCCTCGTCATTTGGCGCCTGCATATCGGAGAGGAAGCACGCCTTCAGGGCTTCGGGAACACAAGATTCTGGAGGTCAGCGGTAGGTTCGACTAGTGCTGGATCCCAGCGGACGCTCGAGTGTCATACGCTCTATCCGGGTCTGTAATTCATGGTTTGGTTTTTGAGCTTCTAAGGGTTTAGGGTATTGGGCCTCCTCGACTCATAGCAGTAACCAATGTAAAGCAGTGATAAGGCTCGGGTGCTGCTGACCCCTGCACGACTTTGTCTTAAGTCCTGCGAGAGCAAGAATGCTCAGGGAAGGTCTCCAACAGATGTCGGAGTCCACGAGGATTCTGGAAGTCGCGAGGCTCACCCCAAGAGCGGACCGTGCAAGCCCAAAATCGCAAACCTTGACCGTCAGCCCTTCCGAGAGCAGAGTGTTCTCGGACTTGATATCCCTGCACGGACAGAGGAGAGAAAGGCTGAAACCACACACGCAATTGCACTCAACTTCAGGCTCAAGATAGCATTCACAGAAGGACTCGAAAGTACTAACGATATTACGAAGCTCCGCGACTCTGATAAGGGATCTGCAGATATGCCCTGAGTTTCTGGTTGGAGGCGGCCCCTCACCTGTGCCAGACCTGCTGGCTGTGCAGGTATCGGACGGCCACCAGGAGCTCCCACATGAGCCTCCGGACGTCCGGCAGGGTAAGCGGCCGCCGCAGCCGGTAAATGTCGCCCCTACCGAGTGAGATGGCAGACTTTTACACTACGGTTTTTGGACACACAACTATACCATGGACGTTGTTTCAGTAATGATATAGATTCTGGAGCCACCATGAATGTACACTGAGAGATGTTTTGGGAATGGGAGTGTGTGAGATACCATAGGAACCACAATATGTACACAAAACCTCCCCTTATCAACGAAATTCTGGGCAGTCAAAACAAAGACCTGAAGGCGACCGAAGCGAAGACGGAAGCATTATCGAGTGCAGAAGTTGGCATCTAGGTGCTTGCCTTGAGTTCCGGGTCATTAGAAATCTTCTTTCGCAAGATCATCCAATTGACAGGTGTCAAATGTGACTATCATCAGATCTTCTTGCAAGTGGGGTCGGGGAGCAATCTATTGAATGATTCGAGACTGGGAGCTCACAGTAGGGCAAGAGAGGACGCAATGATGGCATCGCAATAAGAGTAGAAAAAACAGAGGGTCGAAGCAAGTCAAAGAAATCGACGGCGAATTGACGGGGAATCTCACTCCTGAGCATACTCTGTTGCTATGTACAGGTCGATCCCTTCCTCGACCTCAGTGGACTCCCGCAGGAAAACGTCGGAGACTGCAGCATAAGCGAGCACTGGGTTGAGTGACTTTGTACTCTGTGCCGAGGGGAAGCTTAGATTGCAAATGGCAGCAGGTGGTACAATTTGTTGAAGTCGAGCTTACCGCTGAGACTCTCAGAGTCTCGAATATGACCGATTCAAACACTGAATCTCCTTTTGCAAAGAAAGCGTTCAAATCTCACCGTAATCATTACTGTGGGGGCTACAACGACTTCTGTATATCTGGCTCCCTATGTCCCGCCTCACCTTTGATGATATACGGGTGCGAGATGCGGCGCATGATGCAGACTTCCCGCAGGACGCGCTTGGCGAGCATGGGGGAGCACATGATGTCGGGGATGCGCTGCGGGAAGGAGAACACACAAAAGAATTGTCAAGACGTTAAGGAGTGAGGTAGTGTGGTCTTCAGGAAGCATGATCAATCGGAAGGCGTCTAGCGATGTAAGGGACAGACCAGCTGGGATGAGTTTGTAATCACCCTCTGCCAAAAGCCTGTTCACATCAGCTGGGGGGCAGGGAACAATCAAGAGACAGACAAATACGGCTCATCTACAAAGCTAGACTCAATCATTGCGACATAGTCGTCCTAGGAGCCAGCCAGAATCGAGTCTGTTGCTTACCTTCAAAGCAATCTTCTCGTTCGTGTCAAGGTCCGTGGCTCGACAGACGTCCCCATACGATCCCGAGCCAATCTGCTCATGAAGAATGTACCGCAGCCCAACTGCAATCGTGGCGCATGAACCATGTTCTGGTCAGAAAATTCATTATACTCACCACCCCATCTGCTGTAACTCTATGACCAGTGTCTATGCCCTTGCGGCACTTCACAAAAAGTTGAAAAGAATGTGATGACATACTGCCTCAAACAACTTCACTCTCTATGTGAGACCCGTCAAACAGTCAATACTTTTTGGCCTTCCAAAGCTCTCGAAGAGGGCGGTTCAGCAGAACAGCAAACGGCGACGAGGAACTTGTCGCAGCAGCAGCTCGCCCACAGGGCCCTGGCTTTTGTTTTCAAATAGGACGTCACTTCAGATGCTTCCGGTATGGCCCGTCAAAAGAACACACTCCAAAAGCGATATTGACGGGTTGACACCTAGCCCAGATCTTATCTTAGCCTTTGGAGTAGGTCAAAGCAGAAGCCCTCAGAAGAGAGCCCTATCTGCGCCGTATGTGATTGAGAATCATCAGCCAACATTCAGTTTCTGTAAAAGATCCAAGACTTACCGGGCCACGGCTTAGCACCGACTGTGTACCAGCCCTTTTCAGCATTCACCAACACGGATTCCGCCATTCTCTGAGCTGGTGGCAAAGCAAACAGCTGTGGAAATAAACCCATAAGAGGTGTCGCGTTATGAACTTCTCGTCGCAGGATGACATAATGACCGTCTGGTTGCAGGATAAGGCCCAATGAATCTGCCTTTCAGAAGTGCAGAAGCTGGAGTGTCCTTGAGCACTCCTAAAGCTAGGCTTAAGTGGGGTACGAAAACGTGCAGAGGAAATACAGTCCGTGCAACTCCAACGGCTTCCAGGACAGGAATATGGAAGTCTTCACCAGCATTCTTTCAAATAGCAAGCAGTCACCAGCAAGTCATATGCCAGAAGCAAAGCGAGCATATTACGGTACCAGCGAAACTGCAGAGCATCTTGTGCATTGCTTTGGACGCGGCCTCACCTTCTCAAAGGAACACCGCCTAGTGTCAAGAAGCATATGTGGGGGAGGTCAACCTCAAATGCCGCAGCATTTTCCTAGCCTCCATGTTCGCAGCTTGACGCTGTGTCAATGTGCACCCGAGGTCCCACCCAAGAAGGGCGCCGCTGCCTCTCACCTTGCCACCTTGCCAGCCTTCTTCTTCCCCAACTTGGGCCCAGGCAGGGCGACGCCGAGATCGCTGGCTCGATTTTGACCGGCGTGTTGCAGCTTGCAGCTGTGCCAG